GGCCCTCAAATGGCATTTGTTTCAAAAGAACAGTGGTCTTAAAAAACGACAGCTAATGCATCCATACATGGTCCTAACCAAGCCATCCATGTGGCGAACAACAAACCAAAGAGCTGGCCAAGTGTGGCTCCAGCGCCTATGAACCCAAACAATCTTGAACCTGACTGGAAATGAAGATCATCAAATTTATGCTTAAACACGTCTTGTAAAATTGGGTATCACCACCTCAAAATGATCATTAGGATTATCTCACATGTCTATACTAAACTCAACCGCATATGACAGTCGGGCAGTCCAAACCAGGTTGGACAACTGAAGGGGTGAACAAATGAGATCAAACAGATCCCAGAATGATTTTCACAAACCATCAAGTGGGTAGGCATCCACAAATCACAGTCACATTAATTCACCTCAAAAGGATCCTAAAGAAGTGACGCTTACCATCTCAACATATCTTTATGTAATTTAAACAGAGCACCAAAGTCGGGGTACACATTTAGATTAAATTTAAGGTGGAGAAATAAGGAAATGAATGTATGTTAAATAGAAGCATTCTAACCTTGCTATCCATCACATCAATCACTCTAGCCCAAGTTGAGGAGATCGTAATCAGGTTGAGCAGAGCGACCTATAAACAGGTAGCAGTGAATAATATGCAACAACATCCTTCTTTGAAGAATGTCTCTAATGCCCACACAAGAAAAAACTAGAGAATGAATGGGATGACTAGTGCTATAAATGTTTTTCCTTACCCCGCTACAGTGCTACACTATATAAGATTCACTACTAACATAGCTTGACTAACGCATAACTACCCGAACGAATAGTTGACTCCATGAGATGAAACAAATAGAAAGATAAGTATTGTCAAATCTTATGTATCTCTGTTCAAGGAAAAGAACGAGTCTTCTAGTTTTTTGTTCACTTGAAGAGCAAAGATACGTATTACTCGACCCTACATATGGTTGATAAACGAATACATATTAATAAGTGCTTTCTCATTCAAGTACTAAAACTGAAAATGTTTTTTTCTTCTTTTTTCAAACAGCTCCAATCTATTTATCTAGTGTTTTCCTGTGTATGCACACAGTTTCTTTAGTATTAAAATTATTTTTTTCTTCCCAAATGCTACCTTTTTGAAGTAAACGTACTTTCTTAGCATAATAAGCGTTTTCCCCTTGAAAATATGCCATCCCAAACACGGATAATAACTTCACGTTAGATGGGGAAGTTAGATATTAAAATGCATATTACCCATAGGAAGAAGCTGATTCTCACAGAGATGTAAAACCATCCATGGTTGCCCCACCCAGCTGAGGACGCACCGGTTTGGTTAACTTTGATCTTCAGTTCCTCTTTTATTTTGGACATGGTAAAAAACCCCTAAATGCCACATCATTCATTATATTCTTTAAAACTTCATCATTAAAGTTGCTTTTAATTTTCATTCTTTCTCACCTTGAGACTAAAAGAGCTTCCAGGAGTAGATGAGAGCCAAAAAGCAAAGAATATTAAAAGAGAGATGGCAAAAAACCTGTGTATCATTGCCAGTGCCTAGAAATTGAAAGAGGACCGATTACAATTAGATTTTAAAAAACAAAAATTAGGGAAGACTCTTGTTATTATATATGGCAAGTTAAGTGGGAAATCAGTTATAGGGTCTGTTTGGTAGCCATATTTGGCATTTGTATCAACGACATGAGAAATTTGTGTACTTGGTAAGGCCTAAAATGGCTGAAGAAGCTGAGTCTACTGAAATTGTGGCTCAGGTAGCAATCTGCTGAACTATCTAATATTTATTTAAAATATGTTTTGCAATGAATTTAATAAAGTAATATCTACTAATGACGGAAAAAGCTTCATTCTCATTCATTTCAGTCATTTTATCAAGAAAAAAAGTAACTTCTGCAATACATTTTTTCCACTTTTAGCTGATTCAGCCACTTAAGTGAAATAGATTAGAGCTTTGGGTGTGAAAATTTCAGTCGAAAAGGCTGATGATACAAAAAAAATGTTACCAAACACTTTTCATTTCTGAAAATTCAATAACATCAGTCATTTCAGCCCACTTATCCTTATTCAACATACCCCTAAAATTCTATGAATTTGAGGCATCCTTAGCATTAGATCAAATGCAGAGATGAAAAGGTCACTGTTTCGATACCTTGGCTTTTGAAAGATTAGGCAATGTGAAAATCAGTGTGGATAGTGGGGCAGCAACCAATGTGAGAAGCAGTGATCCCACAAATAAACCCGGTAGATTCCCTAACCCTAACGATATAGCACCATCATCACGTAATGGAAGAACTACAAAATATGCACTTAGAATCTGCAAATCATCAACACAAAATAAACTATTATAGCACTTCATTTGACCCAAAATACTTGTCTAGTTTAACTTTTTGATCTTCAATTAAATAAAAAATTACTACATTGCATATTAATACAAATACGCGTGTGATTTAATTAGATTTATCTTCCAACAATAAAAAAAAGTATTTCATTGTATCGATATGCAGTTTATTTTTTATTTAATTGTTTGATCAATATTCAGATTCATCCAGTTTGAAAAAAGTCAAACTACTCTGGGATGAAGGCAGTATTAGCCCATCACTGCATTTAGCTGGTAATTAGCTATCAATATTTACAGGCAAGCAGGTTTGCGCCCCTAAAATCTCAGAAGAACCTAAAGCTGAACCAATCAAAACCCATAAATCGTACAGATTTCGGTGTGAAAAATGAGCTGAAATGGAAATTCAGAACCGTATGAATAGTGGCTTACGAAGAAGAAAGTGGAAGTGGAGGAGATCAAAGCGGGTGTTTCGTGGTGATGAACGGTGACGAAGCACGACAAGATGGCGTGTGATCGATGAATATAGGCCTCCGTGTTCATCGTCTTCTCCTTTGGCCTTTCTCTGCAATTCTTGCGCTTTAAGGATTTTTTAGTGTTCTCTCTCGCTCTAACTAAACCTCCATTGATCCTAGCAAGAGCTCTAAACATTTTATTGAGTAAACAAGGAGGGGTACACTAAGCTCGATTTGTACATTGGCAAACACATTAATTTGTTTGGTGTATAAATAAGGTACATCATATCCTAACATAATTCTTTTTACTATATACGAAGTAGCTACCATCTTATTAAGGGTTTTGAGCGTAAATTTCATCATGGGGTCCACGTCGGGGAGGTCGCGAAGAACTTGGAGCACGAGCTGATTCTCTGTAACAGGGGCGTCCACGTCGTCTAACCAGTCGGCTATGTTCCGAAGGTTTTGACAATATGTGGCGATGGTGGACGTCCCTTTGACGGTGCTGTAGAACTGATGTTCCAACTGCATCGCTCGAGCGGCTTTGTTGTCGTGAAACAGGTTGTAAATGGCCGTCCAGAGATCTGCAGCAGACTTGGTGGATGAGAGGATGAGATCGGATACCTCGTCGTTGACGGTGGAGAGAATCCATCCTTGGATGAGAGCATCAAGTTGGAGCCGCTCAATATCGTCTTTGCCGGTGGAGGTTTTCTCACCGGTAAGAAACCCCTCAAGATTGAAGCGTCTAACCAAAAGAAGAAAGAGACGGCTCCACTTCTTGTAATTTGGTTCCAAAAAAACTGAGAGTAATGGGAACCTGAAGCTTGACATTAGAGACCGTCGTAAAAGCGAGATGGGGGGTATTTGCAGCGGGAAAAGGGGTGGAGTTTTTTGAAGACATGGTGACGGGAGGAGGGGGAGTGGGCGAGCTGGAGAGAGAGAGAGAGAGAGAGAGAGAGAGAGAGAGAGAGAGAGAGAGAGAGAGAGAGAGAGAGAGAGAGAGAAAGGGCCGGCGAGTGAGTCACTGAGGGTGGGGAGGTTCACGGCGGCGAGGAGAGAGAGGCACGTCGAGGGAAGACAAAGAAGAGACGGTTCGGGATTAGCCCAAAGTTGGCTCCGATACCATGAAAAATTATGTAATTCGATAATTGTTACAAATGATCCGCCTCCCCTTATATACATAAAGGAGAGGTATGAATAAGGAAACAACAATAATGGTAAAACCTATACAATTGAGAACTACTATAAATATATAATAATATATTAAATATGTGATATTGACTTTACATATTTAACACAATAAATCATAATACTAATAATAATAATAATATATTTATTAATACATTTATTGTTCCTAATATCCCCGCAAGCCAATCACCAGTAATGAGGAGCAGCATAGAGCACAAATATTGAAATGATCTTGTAGAAGTAATTTTTTGAGGATAGTCTCTATAAGTAGAGAGACAGATTTTTGTTGCATGACTAACAGGCTTGAAATTACTTTTGTTGAGTTTTTTCTTGGTGAAAGTGTTGACGATTGGAGCAAGGGTGAAAAGTTTCTTTTTTTCTCCTTGTGATTCATTCTCTATTTCTATATCACTTTCCATGTTCTTAATTTCTAGAAAAAATACTGGCAAGTGTAAAATTTGTATTATTCGATCACGCACATAATTTTTTGAAAGAGAGAGATAAAAGATTTTTTGATAGAAAATGACGGATAATGGACGGCTGTTGTTCACCCGACGAAATCGATCATTGATACCATACTCTCAACAACGATGTGCTTGGTCAAAAAAAGAAGAGCCAAGTTTTGATAACATTTAGTTATGATACCATGAGATAATACAATATAAAAAAAAACTTTGTACACAGAAAGTAAAAGAAATAGGGAAAAGTGATTAAGGTAGAGAAGTGGGGCCCAAATTCTCAAGAAACTCAATTACAGAGTAATTAGGATGTAAGTGCTTCTTAGAGTAATTTTAATTTCTAAAAACTTTAGTTTTTAGATATAGAAAACATAAGTTAAGAAAGTACTTCAAAATATTTTTAAATTATGTGATTAAAATAATTACTTTTTCAATAAATTAAGCAATCCCAAACATCTTCAACCCAGATTTGCTAAATTTAGAAAACCTATTCTAAATAAGACTAAAATATATAGAAAGTATAAAAAATAAGAGTTGTATGTTTTTATTTTTAAATTGAAGTTCAAACTGTGATAATATGATATTATACATTGGTATTTTACATAATATATATACTCATAATTGTAATGTAAATGCATTTAACTTTTATTTCAGAAATAAATACATGAAACTCTTTTTTTAAATATATTTTAAATATTTTATTTATATTTACTTTTTTTTCCTAGCCAAGTAATTAACCCGTAATGAATGAAGTTGGCTTTGTAGCACTAAACATGGGTTAGGTATAAAACCAACAGTTACCACCGCGCAAAGAATGAGGCGGCAGATCTCAAGAATGAGATCAGGGTTTCTTTCTGGGGCGGTTGATCCCTTCTGCGAGCCCATGTCCTAAAGAGTTTGTAATCAACAGCCCTCTCTCTCTCTCGTTGAAAACAACGGATTACTCCGTGTTTGTGTGTTTGTGTGTGTATGTATATACGTATGTATATGTATGTGTGTATGCGCGCGCCGCCCATACATACCGCGATTCCAAAGTTCTTGGGTGCATACCCGCCGCCGCCGTCGCCGGCGGCGATGATGGCTGCGGTGGGGCTGTTATGGCATTCAATTTCTTCTGGAGCCGATGGATCGCGCACAGGGGTTAACCTAGCCGTATCTTGGCGTGGCAACACTCGGAAGAGAACCTTCCTTTGGTGTGTTTGCAGCCACGGCGGTGTCAGGTTATCCCATACATGTCCTTCCATCTGGCTATAGCCTCCATTCTGTTCGTCTGGTCAGATTAGCTTCCAATTCATCGTTCATCTACATTCAGGTATTTCTTTTTTCTGCCCTCCGAGACTATATCACCATCTCCAAAACTTGATTAACCCAACAACCGATGAAACGATGATCAATCTTAGTTCTGTTTTGGTCCGACTATTACATCGCTGTTGATTGTTCAATTTTGGGATATTTCGAGGCTGTGATGAGGTTTTTATTATGTTCTACATAAAAATAAAAAAAAAACAGATCTTTGAGGCAAGACCTATATTGGCGTGGCATTTGTTTTCTTGCAGCCATAGGTTGTCTCTGCTGTTATTCTGACAGAGAAAATGTAATCTGAGCCTCATGTACTAAGACAATGAAATCAAAGACGTTTCACCCCATTATCAAACAAAAGTCAAGTTTTTTTGGAGGCCGAGGATTAGTTTTCTATCCAACCTAAAGGTTGGATATAAAGGTTACCTAACAGTTTCAACTATCCATCTATGAAACACAACATACTAGTGGTTTTATCTTGGATGAATTTCTGGATTTAGAAGTACAACCTATAGAACAGATCCTTTTCAAGTAAGGTCGTAGATGAATTTCTGGAGAGGTTATCAAAAATTCAAAAAATGAAACATTCTCCGACAGATCTATTAATTCTATATTTTGGAAGATGTGCCTGAAACACAATTCTTATGATCTGATTTTCATGTCTAAGACAAGTATTAGCCACTGCTCTTTTGATTTGATTTTCACATCTAAGACAAGTATTAACCAATTTACATTGTGGTTGATTTGATGTTTATTAAGAGGGTTTAATGTGACACAGAAAAATTAATGAGTTTCAATGGTGGTTGCTCCCTTTTTTATGTGTTCGATTCAGCCCTGTGGCTATTCCAGTTGCCAGATTCAACGGAAGCTTGTAATTCAACAGCCCTAAATGGTCATTGATCAATGGTTACGATTAATTCTGTCTTTGGTCTTGCAACTCTAACATTGCCTTTATGCAATTGCTATTAATTCCTTTGAGGCGAAGGGAGTAGAAAGTGATTTTTCTGGGATAACTAGAATGCCTAAAACCATTCTATTCAAACTTGAGGCAGTGATGATCATTTTGTTATTATACAATAGAAGTCAGGCTGCCACTATCTTGGCATGGCAGTTGTTTTCTTGCAGCCATTATGGTGAAATGTCCTTCTGTTATTTTTGATTGCTAAAATGTAATCTGAGCCTCATGGAATAAGATGTATTTTTATAAAATGTTCGTGTGATGTATGAAATGTACCATTTGCAAACCTCACTATAATACTAAGAGCATGTTCTCTTTGTGTGATTTGATTTGCTTCCATTCTATTCGTCTGATTTGGTTAGCTTCAATTTGGCTCTATTCATTTCATTTCAGCTGATGATTAATTCAACAACCCTAAACACCAATGAAACGATGATCAATCTTAGGGGTTGTTTGTTTCAGCTTCTTAATGGTTCAGACTGTTCAGCCTCTTAATGGTTCAGATGTCTGAATGGTTCAATGGTTCAGACATTTGCCTCTGAATCGTTAAATATTATACAGAGTCTGAATGATTAAGACCTCTTATCTGAATTGATCAGACCTCTGAATAGTTAAGCAACATACTAGCTTTAATGGTTCAGACCTCTTATTGGTTCAACACTTAATGGTTCAGACCTCATACTGGTTCAGCACTTGCCTATTCAGAAGTTGCCAAACAGCCCCTTAGTTCTGTTTTGATCCGACTATTACATTGCATATATGCAATTTTGGTTATTTTGAGACGGGGATGTACTAATCATAATACTCCGTATTACAGAAATGCATGCATTGCCTGAATGCCAGTAACCATAATATTCACTTTTGGGGCTGTGATGATGTTTTTATTATGTTTTATACTCCGTATAAAAATAAAACCATATCTTTGAGGCAAGGCCTATATTGGCGTGGCATTTGTTTTCTTGCAGCCATAGGTTGTCTCTGCTGTTATTCTGAGCCTCATTTACTAAGAGAATGAAATCAAAGGTGTTTCATAACTATATCACATTCTCAAACAAAAATCAGGTTTTTTTGGAGGCTGAGGAATAGTTTTAATCTAACTGAAAGGTTGGTCTAAAGGTTGAGTCCTTAACAATTTCAATTATCCGGATATGAAACACAACATTCAATTGTTTTTGTTCCAAAGATAAACACTATCCGACAGATCTTCTATTATCTCTATATTTTGGAAGGTGTGCCTGAAACACCATTCTTTTGATCAGTTCATGTTTATGACAAGTATTAGTCACTGCTATTTTGATTTGATTTTCACATCTAAGATGAGGATAACCTGTTTTTGTAGGATACATACCATGACACACAAAGTTAATTCATATGCGGGGTGTCCAGAATACACACCTGAAAGATATCTTGCGAAGAAAAGCAAACACCCGATTTTACATTGTGGCTGATTTGATGTATACTAAGATGGTTTAATGCAACACATAGAAAAGTTAAAGAGTTTCAAGGACGGTTGCTCCCTTTTCTGTGTTCAATTCAGCCCTTTGATTATTCCAATTGCCAAATTCAAGGAGAGCTTGTAATTCAACCGCCCTAAATGGTCATTGATCAACGATTTGAGTTAATTCTAACTTTGGTCTTGTGGCTTTCACATTGCATTTATGCAATTATTATTGATACTATTGTTTCTTTTGAGATGGAGGGAGTATAAAGTTATTTTTTCTGGGATAACAAGAATGCCCAAGTAAGAATGAGGCTGCAGATCTCAAGAATGAGAATATGGTTTCTTCTAGGGTGGTTGACCCCTTTTGCTAGCCCATTTCCAAAAGTGTTTATGATCAACAGCCCTCTATCTCTCGTTGAAAACAACAATAACTCCTGTGTGTGTATATATATGTACGTATTTGTATCTGTGTTTGCACGTGCAGTTCACACAACAAAAACAACAACCCAGTTAAATTCCACAAGAGTAGGGTCTGGGGAGGGTGTGTGTACGCAGACCTTGCCCCTACTCGAAAGTAGAGAGGCTGTTTCCAAAGAGACCCCTGGCTCAACATCGAAAGTTGCAGTGTTTGACTAACTGCTACTTCATTAATTAAAGAAGCGCAGATAGTTTAGAGATCCATTTTGATTTATTCCATCACACCCCAAAGCCAAAAAATGGTGAAATTTTGACTCCATCGGAGATGATGGAAAAATACACATACCCGCTATTTCAAAGTTTTTGATTGCACCCCGCCGCTATAAAATACTTAACACTTCAAATGTTTTTGTGTTATTATTTAACACTTAGAGAAAATAAAAAGTCACAAAATAATATATTTCTAACAATCTAAGCTGACTGATCGGGCACTGAGGTTAACCTGGCTGTATCTTGGCGGGGCAACATGGAAAAGAACTTGCATTTTATGTGTTTGCAGCCATGGCGGTGTCAGATTATCCCCCACATGTGCCTCCATTTGGCTCTAGCATCTTCTTTGACAATTCATCATTTTTCCACAGGTATTTTTTTCTACTCTCCAAGACGACACCTTCAGTGTTCTTTGCTTCAGCTTGTACCCTTGTGAAACATTTTCGTGCAGAGATTAGGGCTTTTCTAGAACGCACTGAGGAGATTATGAGTTTTAGTGGGTGGTTGCTCCCCTTCTGTGTTGTTCATTTCAGCCTATGATTTAGTCAACAACCCAAAAAAACCCAAAAAAATATGAGCATTCTTATTCTATTTTTTCCTACTATTACATTGCATTTATGCAGTAATGTTATTTTGAGGCGAAGGGAGTACAAATCTTAATTACATAAAAACACGTGAATTGCTATAATGCTGAACCGTAATATTTATATTTGAGGCTGTGATCATGTTTTTATTATGTTTTACAGGTATATGAAAATATAATATAATAAAAAATATTTGAGGCGAGGCAACTCCTAAATTAGTGTGGCATTTGTTTCCTTGAAGCCATAGGTTCCTCTGCTGTTATTCTGAAAGGGAAAATGTAATCTGAGCCTCATGTGCTAAGACACAATGAAATCAAAGGCAGTTCATCCCATTATCAAACAAAAATCAAGTATTTATTCGATGCTGAGGAAAAATTTTATACTCGAAAGGTTGATCTTTTGATTGAGTTGGTTCTATAATAATTTCAACTGTCCAGATATATGAAACACCCCCTTTAGATGTGTTTATCTTTGATCTCTTTTGGTCTGATTTTCATGTTTGAGACAAGTATCAGCAATTACCACTACTCACTCTTTTGATTCGATTTTCACATATAAGACGAGTATTAACGGTGTTGATATCCTTTAGCATTTACATACGGAGTTAATTCATATGCAAGGCATCCACTACTCACTCTTTTGATTCGATTTTCACATATAAGACGAGTATTAACGGTGTTGATATCCTTTAGCATTTACATACGGAGTTAATTCATATGCAAGGCATGTCTATGATACACACTTTTTTACATTGTGTTTGATTTGATGTTTATCAAGAGGTTTTTATGTAACACATAGAAAAGGTAATGAGTTTTGAAGGGTGGTTGCTCCCTTTGCTATGTGTTCAATAAATCCCTATGATATTTACAGTTGTCAAAATCCAGGCAAGCTTGTAATTCAACAGCCCTAAATGGTCATTGATCAACAACAATTCTGTTTTTGGTCTTCTGGCTATTACAATGCATTTATGCAGATCCTTTGGAGACCGAGGGAGTATATACTTACTACGTATTTTTCTGGGATTTCTGGGATAACCAAAATGCCTTACACCATTATATTCAAACTTGAGGCAGTGATGATCATTTTGCTATTATATAATAGAAGATAGACTTTTTTAGGCGACCACTATCTTGGCATGGCAATTGTTTTCTTGCAGCCATGGTGTGTTGTCTGGGTGTTACAATTGCAGCATGGCAATTTTTTTCTGAGCCTCATATAGTAAGCTGAATCCATATAAAATGTTTGTGTGTGTATCAATGATGACTCACTGTCAACATTACCTTTTGGAAAAGAACCAGAGAAGTTGTTTCCATTAGCCCCTATGAAAAGAAAAAAAAATGATGAAAGTGGGAAGATTGAGAACATGCTAGTGAAATACCACAAAAAGTAGGGCCCAAGGAGGGTATGTATGCAAATCTTACCACTACTATTGTACTAGGAAGTAGAGAGGCTGTTTCCAAGAGACCCCGGCTCAAAAATGAAAGTGAGACTGAAACCCCCACAAATTACTCTCTCTAGCCATACACACGTGATTTCTAGCCTCTTTGGTGCTAATCGGTGTTGTGATGATATTACATTTCTTCTCAGCTGATTGATCAGACACTTGGATTAACCTATCCGTATCTTGGCGGGGCAACACTCGAATGATGTGTTTGCAGCCATGGCGGTGCCCATGGTTGGTTGATCCCTTTTTATGTGTTTTTCATTTCAGCCTATAATTTATTCAAAAACCTGAAATGACATTAAACAAGGATCAGTCGTGATTCTGTTTTCGTCTGATTATTACAGTATTGATCTTAATATTTGCACAGAAATTATTGGATTGCCAGAGAGCCTGATTCCCTATTATTCAATCTTGAGGCTCATGTACTAAGACACATTCATATCAAGTTTTTGGGTGATGTATCAACATCAACACCAAAGTCCATTCTATATCAAGTTTTTGGGTGTTTCAAACATCAAGATGCACCCACATTCATATCATGTTGGGGTTTGAAACATCAAGATGCACACAACATTAGCTTTGGAAAAAGCCAGAGATTTTTCTGTTAGTCCCTTGATTGATTCATTGCTGCATTTACTCTGAGACTAGTATAAGTCTTTTGACCCACTGTTTAGCTTTTTAAAGTCAAAAGTGAAATTTGCCCTAAATAGTACTAAAACATAAGTCATTTTTCTGTCTATCGAACTACACCTTGGAGTTTTGAAGATAAGTTTTGTTTAGAAGATTGCTAGCTTGTGGTGAGAATATATGGAGCAATTTATTTTTCTATGACACCAGTTCTGGTTAGTGGCTTTGCGACATTGAAAATCCAAAACCAAATAGGGGCTATGATGATATTATTGTGCATAAAGAATACCTCCTGGATATGATAACACTTATGGCGGGGCAATACTGATTTGTGAGAAAAATGTCACTTAAGATCTGTGTTATGCAGCCATGGAGTAAATATTTCTGAGCCCCAATTTCTAATTGCTTAACTGAGTTTGGAGTACAAGTGCCCAGATTCTACTATTAATTTTTCTTAATTTGCATTATGTGCTCTCATTCATTAACCCTCCATAGTGATCATGTGTCACTTTGGGGATATCCCATGGTTTCTGATGTGCATTTTGGTCAACTTGAGTGCATTTATATGTAAACTTTATTAGTGTTATAGAGAGTCCACTGGGGTTCCGTTAATGGGCTCGTTAGTATTGGTCTCATAATTTGGTCAAGTCATGTAGTCGTGGTTATAAATGTTTAATGGAAACATCCAAGTCCAGTTTTCTCATAAAATTCTACAATTAGATTTGTGTTGCCCACTAGGCAACTAGTACAAACCCTTTGGCTTAGACTAATAATTAATAGTCTGTTGCCAAGCTGCCTTTTCTGTGTGTAACCAAATGAACAAACAGTGCTCATGGCGCCTTAAGAAGTGATCCTTGATTGTTAGAAGGTTATGTTTTTTGGCTAACCTTATCTGTTTTTTTGTTGACATGTGAAATTTCATGCATCAGTATTATATAACCATACATTTCCTTTTTGCTTCTTCTCTACGTTATCCTTCCCATTGTCATCTTGTGTTTTCCGGATTTTTTCTCTATACTTTTCCATGTTAGAATACAGGTTCTCCAATTGCAGAGGTTGAAGATATATCAGATACATATGTGCACTTATGAGAGACCAGCAGTGAATGGAGGAAGGTAAGTGTAATTGGAGGAGCCCAAATTTTAATTTTCAAGTCTCAAGAGAAAAGACAAATATGTATTGATCTGAATTCCATTGACGCTGTGAGCTGTTTTAATGTGTATATTTGTTGTAGTTATCCTATTTGATTTTTCACGTTCTTATTTTGCAAATAAAATATACACTAAAAAGACTTATTTACCCTTATGTATTGATCTGAATTCCATTGACGTTGTGAGCTGTTTTAATGTGCATCTTTGTTATAGTTGTCCTATTTGATTTTTCACGTTCTTATTTTGCAAATAAAATAAAATATACTAAAAAAACTCATTTACCTTTTCTTTGGGGGGGGGGGGGGGGNAAGAAGACAGATGAAGTTCCAGATCAAAGAGGAACAATTTAGGGGGTTGGCCTTTTGAAATTAGCCTTCCGCAAATGTTCTTTGTTTCCAGATTTGGTTTTAGATCGGAAGTTCTTTGGAAATTAGCGATGAAACTAAAAGGGAAGAGGACGGAGAATACAAAATTGAGAGGGTATAATTGGAAAGTCAAAATAATTTTTATCTTACATTAAAAATGGTATCAAGTTAAAACGGGAAGAAACAACTTGGACGGAGGGAGTATAATAAAACTTTTAGAGAATTACTTAGTCTATCATAGATTTTTTGGTAAGAAATTTTAGGTCTTAAATTATTTGAAATAAGCTTTGGAGTAATATTGATTTTTGGTAAAAGTACTTTTAAGTCCTACATTATTTAGAATATGTTTCAAAAAATTTTAAATTTATGGTATTGTACTTCGATGGCACATATGTTTGCTTAGATGTTAGGATTGGAAAATTATTTTCTTTGACAAATTAAAAGATTTTACGGAGTTAAAATTTGACAAAATACTGATTTAGGTAAAATTTAGTAGGAATATTTGTCAAAGAGAGTTTTCAACTTTGAAGGTCAAGTAGACTCAGGGTAGATTACCACAAATTTTAAAGTTTCTTGGAGTTTATTTCAGTTAACGTATAACCTCAATGTTCTTATTAGAAAATTCAAGATTCTTTGAAATATTTTTTAAATAATACGAGACCTAAGAACTTTTAGGAGAGAATTAAGATTTTTACAGAGTAATACTCCGTATTTTATAACTTTAATCCTTTTACATTTTTTTTCTTATTATTTTTTTTATTTTTGATGTCATGTCACTTTGTTAATATTTTAATCATTCCACTTATGTATGGGATAGAACATTCACTCCACATTTCATTTATTAAATCAGTATTACTCCTCCCCGCACCAACGAAACTCCCTTCTGCCAAGTATTTTTATCATTCCACATATTTTCCTCTATTTTTACCCCACATTTTTCTCAAATATCTGTATTAATGTACTATTGTAGGAGTAATGTGGCACTTAGTATTCTTTTTAGTATTGTACATGGTCATAATTGGTAATGTCAATGCATTTTAACTCATATTTTAGAAAAAATATGAGACTCTTATATTAGTATATTTTTTAATGTTTTATTTGTATTTTAGTCTTTTTCCCTTTATTATACCACAAAACTAGTTGTAACATAATTATTATTTTATCAAATGACTAACGAAAACATGGAAAGAAAATGAATAAAATTTGAACATGTAAATAGTAGATATGTAATTTAATTTGAGACGAAGAAGGCTTCATTGGAGGTTGCTTTTCTAGCGTCACGGCAGGTTGCTTCCAAGGTAGCTTGGGAGGGGCTTTTTGGGCATGATTTTGCTTTTGGGTATTCATTTCTGAAATGTGAACTGGGTTTTGTTGTGGTGGCTTGATAGACGTTTCAAAATTTGGGCTCGAATACCCATTACACACTACAAAAAGCACGCTTATTCTTTTAGAACGATCCGTGGTATATTTTGATAATATCACAAGACTGTCAGAGACCACGCCTACCATAAACAATATCTTGCACTCCGCCCCAATTTAAAATTTGCGCTTTGGTTTATCAGAGAATTAGAGCGAAATTTAAAAATATATTTTATCACGGATTTTAAATCAAATTATATTAAAGCAAAATCCGTGATATTTTACAAACAATATCAAGTTATTTTCATTGCAATTTATCAGAGAATTAGAGCGAAATTTAAAAATATATTTTACAAATTTAAAAACTACTTGAAAAATTCTACCAAACTACATGCTTAGACCAAGTATTAAATACAGTTATTAACAAATGCATAGTTGTATTGTCAATGTACTAAATTCAACATTGCAAATAGTTTTTCACTGTTTCTAAAGTCACAACTATTAAGACAGGTAGTAACCATTAAAATATCTCACAATGTCAGTTGACACAAAAACAGATCAGAACATTAAATAACTAAGCAAATTAGCAAATATTTGGGACAACATGTCCGTGTATTCTAACATTGAAAAGTATACCCGAGCAAAAAAAATTGAAAAAAAAAATGCTACAACAAAATGTAACGTCACAGCCACAATAAAAAATTTACGATTAAGAGCTTAACATTGTCTAACCATGCTCGATATTGGTGGCAGTGGCCACTTTTTTATTTTTTAATACTATATTACTATATATATATATATATATATATATATATATATATATATAGAGAGAGAGAGAGAGAGAGAGAGAGAGAGAGAAAGAGAGAGAGGAAATAGAGCAGAGGGGGTCCGCATAAATAATGGATATGTGCCAGGGCATATTTCTGCTTGAAGTTTTTTAAAGAGCATGTATATCAATTGATAATATGATTTTTTCCCTACTAATTTGGTGTGATTTTTAATTTTTTATTGTTTTTGATTAAATTAATATGAGGATTATGCTCAAATCAAGACTTGTTTTTTAAATTAACAGTTTTGGTGAAAAAATTGTACAAAGTACATTTATCTCTCTCCCTGAGTATTTGTTCATGTTTGACTTTTTTTTGGACAAAATTGGTAAACTTTGACTTCAAATTAAATACAAATGATATTGAATATTGATACAAAATAGTGTTATTAGACTTATTATATCATATATTTTCATAATATTATTTTATTTAATTAATAAACAAATACAAATAGATTAATAATATATAATTTCTATAATTTTTTAATATACAAATTACAAGATAAAATGGATTAAAGAAGTGCATTGGATGGTGTGCCAAAAGGTAAATGGACAAAGAGAGTGGGACGGAGAGAGTATATCTTATTTAATTATAGGTCAAATGTTGAAAATAGTTGGCTGAAAAAAGTTTAAACTAAACAAATACTCAGGAACGGAGGTAGTAATATTTTTTAATATACTTACATTTAAATTATATGAATGTTAGCTTGACATAAAATTCATTAATTTTTTTTTATTGTTTTATACTCCGTATTACCTTTATAAATAAATATTTGGGGCACGACTCACGAGCTCCCGGTATAACGCACCCACTACTCCTAAATCCTGGCTCCTCCATTGATTGGTGGCCCAAAGTTTTGAGAGATGACCTTGTCTCCTATACAAATTCGGCATGTCTTGATATACCTATGATTAAGATAATGGGAAGGATAATGTAGAGAAGAAGCAAAAAGAAAAGAAATGTATGGTTAAATATAACACATGCATTAAATTTCATATGTGAACAAAAAACATGGTTAAACCAAAAAAACATATGGGGTGAAACAGAAAAAATAAATAAGGTTAAACAAAAAAACATATGGGGTGAAACAACTTTGCTTCAAAGAAATCCATCAAAAGAACATGAGAGAATAATGAGGGCTGGCAGTCACTAACATTCTTCAAAAGTGGAGGAAACCAATGGCCAGTAGAGGGAAGAAAACCACTCCAATACAGACCTCAAAACTCAATCTACAGCTTCACTCTGTTTTCATGAGCTTTAGTAATAACCTGCCCAAGCTGCCACGGCTGCAATACCCGATACAGATCAGGTCCTCCAAGTGCCCCAAATTAACTGAGCTCAGTCATGCTCACAGCCTCTTCAGAATCACAACCATAAGAACTCAGTCTCAGAATCCCCAATTGTAGGATTTGGCAATGAGAGAAAACCAACTTTGGATTCCAGTAAAATGGAGGAGAACAAAGAGAGTTTTCAATACCATTCCCAAAGCAAGCCCTCCTTCACTAAAAGGAATCTCCACTTCTTTTGAAAACAAGACTTGATTTCCACCTAAGGGTCTGTTTGGTGAGCAAAAAAGGATTGATGGAAGTGTTTGGAGACATCTAAACTCTAATATGGCTATTAGTAACAGGCAATTGATGGTTAAACAGTTGAGAAATTAGGACTCCCAGAAATCCCAAAACCACCCCCATTTGGGATACAAGTAGAGTTGGATGGCTTAAAAACACAAACTATTTGTTCTTTCAAATAGCGAGGCTCATATTTTTGCCCATTTGATCAAGAAAAAAAATGCTAAACATGCCAAGCTGCAAGCATCAGTTGCCTTGAGAAAACTGGAGAAAGAACGTGTCTTACCCTGTCAACCAGACCCTCTGATATTGCCACGCCGGACCGTTCACATAATTTTCATTGAAAAAATGTATATCGTCACAGCCTCTTTAACAATGCAAGTGTCATTCCTTGCAATACAACTTAAGAGACATGGTCAAAAACCAATATATGGATGAATGGTTGGATGTGTAAAAATACAAAAGGGCTGTTTGACTGTTTCCTCATACAAATGAGGTCATTGGCTGTTTGCAGAGATGGCAACCACCCTTGAAAAACTCCAATGCATCTCTGCAGTGAAATAAAGTTAGACCCGAGTTCTATTCCTAGAAATTGTGTTGGGAGGTAACTATGTAAGCAAAGAGCCTTTGCAAGTACGAGGTGTAGATAAAACATTTTGAAATAAAAAAGCTAAAATCTAATGACAATTCTTAACACTAGTACACTTCTAAAGTTTCTTTGCATCATTGAGAAATGACCTAAAACGTTAATTAAAAACATTGGTCCCAAACAAGACCAAATAGTGTATTGGCACCTACTCCTTAATAAACAAAGTGGCTCAGATTCAACTTATCTCTCATAATACGAGAAGGTTGAACCCACCATGGCTGCAAGAAAGCTACCACGCCAAGGGGGTACAAAACCCAATTTCTTGTTTAGAAACCAGTTAATCATCACAGCCTAAAATTAAGGGTTTAAGGTTTTGGGTTTAGCTTGATATACAAATCAAACATTCATATATAAATGAATCTTGTAGAGAGGTTTGACTGTATTCCATTATATCAAAGAACCCGTTTGGCATCGGAGATTAGCGTTAGCGTTTGAACAGACTATTCGACAATATCCTTTAACATTAGGGTTTCCAGAATTAATACCTTTCTTGGCCTTTTGGCTAAGATCAAGTGTAGTATCTGTTCTTAGCGTTTCCAAGAATAATCTACACCATTAAAATTTTATACAAAACGCTATGCTAATCAGAAACGCTAATCCCAAACAAGGCCTTCATCACCAATGGTTGTTGATGAGTTTTACTCATCAGAACCAAACAAAGCCCAAGTGTCATAATTCTTTTTTGTAATTGGGGAGGACAATCTCATAAATTCCAACCTTTTCCTGTCCAACAACAACAAACCCAGTAAGTTACCATGCAATATTTCATTGAGCTCCCACTTTTCCAATTCAAATTGGATGCATCGATTAAGGATGTTTGACTGAAGTGATTTTCAATACAATTTATTTAAGAATTAGAGCGGAATAATATGAAAAGAAAGTGAATGAAATTTGATTCTATGAAGAAAAATTCATGCTACACTTACACCAAAAAGTGCACAAATTTTGGGGTACAAATAGCTTAATCCATAAAAAAAATCTAAAGGGCATAGGCAGATCTTACCCATGGCTGCAAACGCCAGAAGCTCCTGAGAATCACAATCAAACAAACAGTAATAATTGCCTTGCCAAGATACGGGTCAGAATCATACCCACGCCCAACCCATTTTTCCCAAAACCCGAATTCAGGAGACATTGGGGCTCAGATCTACTTCTCAACGTGACAAATCGGAAAGCCCTGGCCGCCATGGCTGCAAAATCCGGATTGCCACACCAAGATACGGGTCGGGTCATCCGAAAATGTTGAGAAGCCCAGAAAGAGAGAGAGAGAAGCAGAGCGAAGAATCATCTTCAACCTCTGCAATTGAAGAATCTGTATTCTAAAATGGAAAGGTAAAAAACAGCGAAAAAGATGTTGGTGGCCCAAAATTATGAGAGATCAACTTGCCTTTTATAAAAATTCCGTAAGTCCTAATATACATATGATAAAGAATCCAGAAAACACGAGGAAAAGATAATGGGAAGGATAACGTAAGAGAAGAAGCAAAAAGAAAAGAAATGTATGGTCAAATAGAACACTGATGAATGAAATTTCATATGTGAACAAAAAAAAATCAAATAAGGTTAAAAATCAAAAACAGATAAGGTTAAACAAAAGAAACATATAAGGTAAAACGAAAAAACAAATAAGGTTAAGCAAAAAAGACTTTATGGAAGCGTTTGGAGAGATCTAAACTCTAATATGGCTGTTAGTAACAGGCAAATGATGGTTAAACAGTTGAGAAATTAGAACTCCCAGAAATCCCAAAACCACCCTCATTTAAAAACACAAACATATTTGTTCTTTCAAATAGTGAGGCTCAGATTTTCGCCCATTTAATCAAGAAAAAAATGCTAAACATGCCAGGCTGCAAGCATCAGTTGCCTTGAAAAAACTGGAGAAAGAACGTGTCTGACCCCGTCAACAAGACCCTCTGATATTGCCACGCCGGACTAAAGTAAAAGCCATTCACATAATTGTCATTGAAAAAATGTATATCATCACAGCCTCTTTAACAATGCAAGTGTCATTCCTTGCAACACAACTTAAGAGACATGGTCAGAAACCAATATATATATGCATGGCTGGATGTGTAAAACATAATGACTTTCCAAAATAGCACCACATGTGTTTTTCTTCCCAATGTAGCACTTTTAGTCATTAAGCATTAGTCATTATTCAAGTAAATATTCATCATTACTGCACATTATGGACATTATTAAGTGCTATTTAGGGAATAAAACAGTTTAATGCTATTTAGGAAAATGACTTAAGTTTTAGTGCTATTTAGTGCAAATATTTCAATACAAAAGGGTTGTTTGACTGTTTCCTCATACAAATGAGGTCATTGGCTGCTTGCAGAGATGGCAACCACCCTTGAAAAATCCAATACATCTCTGCACTGAAGTAAAGTTAGACCCGAGTTCTATTCCTAGAAATTGCGTTGGGAGATAACTATGTAAGCAAAGAGCCTTTGCAACTACGAGGTGGCAGGTGCATGCTCCACTATTTGACACAAACCCATAATTAAAGTCAAATTTACAATTTACCTTCTCTCTTAGGGGCCCTCAGGGATGGGATAATAACCTTTTCCCAATACATCCTCTACTTCAGCATCTTATATCTAGTCTAGCTTCTCACATGAAAAATATAATATCTCCCTAGAGCGTGCTAAACATCAGCCATCAACAGTTGGATGATTCAACACTTTGTTCTTTCTCTTCCCTTTTATATCAAAAGCTTCTATATTTGGCAGCAAACAAAGTGGACGTTTGGCAAAAGCTTCCATATTTAGCTTCAACATTTTGAAAAAAAAGAAGAAGCTGAAATCTAATGACAATTCTCAACACTAGTACACTTTTAAAGTTTCTTTGCATCATTGAGAAATGATCTAAAACGTTAATTAAAAACATTGGTCCCAAACAAGACCAAAGAGTGCATTGGAACCTACTCCTTAATAAACAAAGTGGCTCAGATTCAACTTATCTTTCATAATACGAGAAGTAAGGTTGAACCCACCATGGCTGCAAGAAAAGCTACCACGCCAGGGGGTACAAAACCCAATTTCTTGTTTAGAAACCAGTTAATCATCACAGCCTAAAATTAAGGGTTCAAGGTTTCGGGTTTAGCTTGATATACAAATCAAGCCTTCATATATAAATGAATCTTGTGGAGAGGTTTGACTCAACTCCATTATATCTACATCACCAATGGTTGTTGATGAGTTTTAGGCCCCGTTTGGCATCTAGAGATTAGCATTATCATTTGAAAAGGTTTTCAGAAACAAGACCTTACTCGTCAGAACCAAACAAAGCCCAAGTGTAATAATTCTTTTTTGGATAAAGCTATTTGTACCCCAAGGGGGTGCACAATTTTGGTGCAAGTGTAGCATGGTTCGTATTCTAATTGGGGAGGACAATCTCATATATTCCAACCTTTTCCTGTCCAACAACAACAACAACAAACCCAGTAAATTACCACGCAATTCGCAATCAAACAAACAGTAGTAATTGCCTCGCCAAGATACGGGTCAGAATCATACCGACGCCCAACCCAATTTTCACAGAACACGAATTTCCGAGACGGTGAGGCTCAGATCTACTTCTCAACGTGACGAATCGGAAAGCCCTGGCCGCCATGGCTGCAAATTCCGGATTGCCACGCCAAGATACGGGTCGGGTCATCCCAAAATGTCCAGAAGCCCGGAAAGAGAGAGAAGCAGAGCGGAGAATCATCATCACAGCCTCATCAAAAAGCTTTTCTTTTTCCATAGAAACAGAGACAGAACAGAACAGAGCAGAAGAAATGAAGTACTAGTAGTATATCATGTACGGAGTATGTGTGTGCGCGTGTATATATGTATATATATATATATATATATATGCATAGCTAGTTTCTCTTTCAGTAGGAAAGAATGAGATAAAAGGGTTGTTTGGCGGGCGGTAAAGGATGAAGATGGAAGAAATCACAGGCGAAGGAGAAAGGGGCAAAACAACCCTTTTGAAGAAGACACCACATCTCTCTCCTGCCTCATTTCTTTTTCTTTCTGGGCTCTTCTTGAGGGGTTCATCCTTCTGGGGCGATTGGGTTTGTCTCGATTTATATAAGGGCACAATAATATATTACTCCGTACTCCGTAATTTTCACGCAACAATTAGAGGAGACTTTCCTTTTTTTGAAATTTATTTTGTGATTTACTTTTTCTCTTTTCTATATACTATATCCGTCCCGCTATATTCGTCCATTTTTAATTTTTGGAACTGTTCATTTAATCACTTTGACTCATCAAATTCTCTCAATGTGTAAGCCTAAATATAGTCATGTGTGATCTTGTTTGATTTGTCTTAACATATAGATTATTAATATATAATTTCTATAATTTTTTAATATACAAATTACAAGATAAAATGGATTAAAGAAGTGTATTGGATGATGTGTAAAAATGAAAGTGGACAAATACTTTGGGACGGAGGTAGTAATTTTTAATCATATAATTTTATTTTTCTTAAATTCCGTGAAAAGTCAAATTATGAGTATTAATTAGGGACAAATGAAATAGTGTATACTTCTACTTCTTAGATCATGTTCCGTTCAATTTATTATTATTACTTATTATTCCGTACTTTTTCTTATTGAAATTATATCCGAAACAGTTTTAAATATAACTGCATTCAGATCAGATCAGATTTTATTCCAATCTGTTCGGAACCATTCAAATCAAGCGAAGAGCACATGACCTTAGACTATTGAGTACCATCATCAGCATTCTTACCATTCTCACTTTTATCTCACTGTCACATAAGCATTCTGCATTTCATCCCCATGCAGGGGTGTCATCCTCATCTTATCCTTATTCTTTTGTTATTCTTTTAAATGTTAGTTTTATAACATTTCATTTAGAATATTAATTTAATTTAAAAAACTTTTATTAAACATTTCATTTATTATAAATAAAAGAGTACATACAATTAGGAAAAAGAATTCATGGCACAATTTATTTTGTAAATAGAGCAGTATTTTTTTGAGAAGAATTGATGAAAGTTTGGGTAGAAGAAGTGTGTTTAAATAGAGTAGATTTAGGAATGCGTTAATCGCACGTTCATGCAGTGCAAATATAGATTAATATAAAGTTATATATCAAATGTGAGTTATAAAATATACCTTGCCCATTATCTTATATATACTTTTAACCTCTTTAAATCATACATAATTATTTTCAATTTAGTCATCGATGACCAAATTTGAAGGACGGACATAAGTCGATAAAATTCATCATCAATTGATCAACCTCTTCTTCAATATATGACATCTTTATCAAGCTCCAACACATGTATTGAAAAACGTTAATTAATGCTTTTGAAATCTAGCACAAAAGGCATCATTGATGCAATATTTTTAAAAGTTCGGAAGACATTGGTACAATTATTAAAGTTCAAGGTGCATCTGTGCAATTTTTGAAAAGTTCATAGAACATTGATTTAATTTAAGTTCAAGGTGAATTTGCGTAATTTTTGGAAAAGTTAAGAAGTAAATGATGCTAAAAAGTAAAAACTCATTGATTTATGAGAAACTTTGAAACTTAAAATTGAAAGCTAAAAGTAGCATCAAAGTACCAAAATCTAAAATTGTAGTTTTCATCAATATTACTACTAGTTTTTTAATCTGTTAAACGCCAAATGATGCATTTATTGAGATATTATTTTTTATGCTCAAGAGTAATCCAAAGTAATCCGAGTAGTAGTAGTAGTAGATTTTGGAGTGTCATGAAGATGTTTGTATATCATGGAATGGAATGATTTAATGCTTGCAATACTTGCTTTCACACCTCATATCAAGAAACTAATACTTCGTCGATTAGCGTTGCGCAGCTGACAAAAGCAAAAAGTGCCAAGTGAGACCCGAGTTCGATTCTTAGCAACTGCGTTGGGCGATAACTATACTAAGCATAGTACTTTTGCAAGTACCAAGTGTAATGACCGTCTGACCGAATCTGAAGGAACCCTCGAAAATGAGGCTCATCCTTTACTTCTAAGAAGCTAATAGAGTTGTAGATGTGAAACAAAATTCTACCGTCCGTCGAGACACATTTTTATCTAGGGTCCTCATTTCGGGCATTATGTCAATATCTAACTAGAAGCTAAATCACAATCAGCTGCCGATAGCTTTCAAGAAGCATGTTGTAAAGGGAGTAATTAACAATGACAAAAACGCGTCTAAGAAGAATGTTGTAAAAGAGATTGCAATGGAAAATTAAACCCTTTTCGACAATTAATGATAAAACACAATATTTCACTTATGAATTAAAACCTTTCCTCAATGGAGAACGGACACATAGCTCAAACAAGCTAAGCTTATCGTACCTTACGGAAATAAAAAAAAAACTCATAAGCATTTGCATCGTGATGCCAAATGTTCTAACTTAAAAAACAAAAAGTTGTTCCTTTGGGTACTCATTACCTCGATCAATGAAACAACTTTCTCCCTATCAAATTTCGCATATAGCGAAGCCTTAAACCATATGTTCATGTAGTTGCGCAAGAATTTAGACCGTCGTAGCTTTACTCATCTGCTCAACTTTTCAAAGACGGTGTGCAGATATTCACATCATTTGTGACGGGCACTGCCATTTTCCAAGTGTACTAGAGGAATTGTTTCACCTTCCTTTGGCTGTATCATTTGCAGTTACATATGAGTTAGTAAAGTGGGATATCAAAATATTGTGTGCTTCAAAATGAACAATACTTAACTGCAAACATTGTTCCAAAAATAGGTCTTGAAAGATGCGCTTCTAGACAAGCTAGGAACACGTCTAGATTCTTAGAGCCCATTTGGGATTGCATTTGCATTTTTTAAGCTCTTTTTTGGGTCCTAATGCTTTCCCAAAGAAACTTTAAGTTCACTAAAGAGCACCATAAGGCAACATTAGCCCACCAGGGCCTTTGTATTTCCTTCAATTTTACTCATACATCACTTCACAACCTCAATGCCACAACCACATTCTCACGTAAGACTTTCAACAAGCAGGCTAGGAACCCTAGATGTTGTTATTCAAGTGCTTGACTAATGACCAATGCTTAGCAAATTTCAAATAAATGATTAGAAAAGAAGAATAGGGAAGCGATAGCACCTGAAGTTGTTGTGGTGAGGGTTCTGTAGCCTTTCTCTGGCCCTCAAGAGTGCAGTAATATGAATAGAGAACCATCCCGAACATAGCAATCAGGATCCCAAGAATATTCCTCCAGTTAAACGGATCACGAAGTAGGACATAACCAAACGCCAATACTAGACATGTTTTCAGATGCCCGAGAACCTGGTAGGTGACCGGCGATGTCTTTCCAATCACAAGGAAGGTGCTAAAATTAACAGATATAGATATCAAGCAGGACAAAACAATAAATCCCTGAAATATTGAATGTCGATTGTTAGATACGAAATTATTGCTTAAAGAGAGAAAATTTGTAGAATAGAAATTTGTAGAGTATACCAGCACTTGCGGGGTGTATTGGAAAGCAAATACATTTTGGTTTGTCAAAAACTTGTCCAGAAATGGACCGGAGACAAATAGAGTCATTGCTTGATAAGGACATGTTTGATACAAAAGTTGTGTTGAAGAAACCTTGAACTTCTTCTGAATGGTATTTGTCATCTGAATGAAGCTTATTAAGAACTATTTCACAATAAATTATTGCAGTACCACAGGAGCATGTGAAGTTGAGCCCATAACCTAATGTAGAGCTAAATCAATTTTTATCATAATGGTCTAGTATTCAAAGTCACTCCCTCCTGCAGTGTTAAATAACTGTCCATTACGTAAAGAAATTTTGTTCACAAATGATTGTCCAATTAGCGAACCGATGAAATAAAACATGTTAAGACTGCCATATTTGATTCATTTGCATGTTACTTTTAATACCTAGAAAACAATAGGGGTATGCACTTCAAAGTCTTCAGGTTTGAGAAATAAAAATATACTCCGTCTCGCTTTAGTTGTCTACATGTCCCAAGTCCCAACCCTTCAAATTTAAGGAACACGTTGAATTGACGAAAAACCATGTAATTGTCTTGTCTTCCCTTGTTGGCAACCAGCTCAATACAAAGGTGATATCATGATTACTGAACCTCGATAAAAAGTTGATAGTTGAAACTGGGATTACTACTGTGTATAAAGTTTTGAAACTCAATGTTAAAGCACACATGGAGATAACTAAGGACATTCAAAAATGACAAAGGATACAATTTGAGCAATGCAAGTTGTGAGTACTGCGAGGAGTGACAAGATGGAGCCCAGCACATTTAGCTGCAAATCAGTTACAGTTGCAACCCCCACACCAAGTAGTAATATGAACAAAGAAAGCTGAATGCTCCTACTGTAGTTATAACAACAGAAATACTCCGGATTGGTTAGAGTGGCAAGAGAACAAAGCAAATTAGTTAATAAACAAAAGAAATGCTTCACTCTGTAAAAAGAATTATAAAGTGTATGTGCATGTGAGAGAGGGTGATGTACTGATGTGGGGATCAGGGGTAAATTAAACATATTCTTTATGAAGAATATCATTCTTTGTAAAGAACTAAGTAATACTACGAGAACAGACATGATAGTGAGGTAGAATTAAGATTCCTAATTACTTTGATACTCCATGTAAGACATGGTTATATCCACAAGAAATGCTACTTTCACGTCTAGTTTCACCACTTGGATGAAATTTAGGGTTACAATTAATCAGTTTTGTTTTATGGTTTTACCGATACATCTAAGTGACCTATTCCATACACTCGTCATTTAACCCCTACACCATCCAGATAGTCAACTTGGTTGATAACTTATGGATGAAATTTAGGGTTACAATTAATCAGTTTTATTTTATGGTTTTACTGATACATCTAAGTGAACTATTCCATGCACTCATCATTTAACCCCTACACCATCCAGATAGTCATCTTGGTTGATAACTTATCATTGCTCTAGATGATCCCCAAAAAAAATGATATCAATGTGATTAGTTATCAAAACAGCATACCCCATATCAGCAAAAAGAATTCCAGATTCATTTTCAAAAAGGATCCAAACTTCTAGATAGTTCATGATAACCTTTGAAACGTAGCAGACATATAAAAACATGAAATCAACTTCATTCAGCACCATAAAAGACTGACCTGAACTTTTTGCTCAGGAAAAGTGTCTCAAGTAGTACAGTGCAAGGGATGATGGCAAGCTTCGTCATCTAAGAGAAAAAGTTGTATAAAATTTGGTTTTAGAAACAATTCTACTAAGTAGTGTAGGTCTTGCATTCAAAAGTCAAAACAAAGACGGAGATTGGATAAATTAGGTCATACCTGATAGAAACCTACAGAATTGAAACCAAGGCTAAGATTCAGCAATCCAATTGAGATGCCATTTAGAATACCAAATCCAACAACAGTTCTTGAATCAAAAGACTTGTGCTCAAACAGTTTCAGCAAGAGTGCAACATGGAGTGAACAAAATGTAACTAATAAATGCCAGCTTGTCAAAGTTGTAGCTGTGTAAGAAAAAAAAGTGATATAGAAGTTTATTAATCTGTATGACACCATGACACACTTGGGTAAGATAGCAGCCATCTCCCCCTTCTGAAGAATCTAAGCTAAAGCTAACATAAACATCATCCATTAGTCAAATTATATGATGTGTGTGCACTTTGCAAATCTCATAAAGGATTACCTTTTTTTACCCCAACTAGAAATGAAATCACAATCGCAACAAAACTTTGAATCGAGTCCTAAGCTACCACATTGCAACCCAGTTTAAGACCAAATAACTAATAAATACCTTTAAAGGTTAGTAATACCGCCAGCAGCTCATTCGTATACAAGTGCAAATACATTAACATCAATAATGAACATTCTACGGTTTCCAGAAAAATGATGTCATGCTCACTGATCCCTTTGTCTGTTTGTACCAAGTTTTCACCAGGATTACATGCACAAAGCAGAGACTAACGAGATTCCACTAAGACGATCAGTAAAACCACCGCCAAGTTAATTAGTGTTAATTATAAGAACTCCACAATTTCCAGAAGACGAAAGTGATGTTCTATTGTCTGTTTCTAGCATGTTTTTTTTCCTTCAGAATTTCATAAACGGAGCAGAGACTGACGAATTTGCACTAATATGAGAGATTAATTAACAAAATTGACTCACCAAATTTGAACCGCAGAGTGCTCATAAGCGCCTTATTGCAAATCACAATTGACACAGACGAAATGACAGAGAGGCTCAAAGCCCCAATGGTGCCGAGCTGAAACCGCTTGTACTCACTCATCCTCCTTTCTGCCTCGCTTCCTTAACTTTACACACACACACACACACAGAAGCGAATCAGTAAACAATTACACGAAATTCGATCAAATCCGCACCTGAACGCGATGAAAACAATGGAAATCAACAAAACTGTATCGCCGCCGGCTCGGAATTTCACACTTCCACACAGATCCGATCCTTCCGTATATATATACGAATTCGCAGAAATCGCAAGACTAGGGAAAAAACGCGATAAGGTGGAGGTTCAGTCACCTACTTACAGTTCGGTGCGCGAATCCAGCAAGCCGCACATGAATGAATTGATAATGGCCGAGAACAATTTCGCATTCAAAATTTAGAACGGAGACGGAGAAGTCACGCGCTCGGCGTCTGCAATCGCCGCCGAAGGCGGGGCGTAGGATCGGTTTAAACAACAGGGAAATCCGGGGAGTGGATCACAGTCTCCGAGTTGCGCGTGAGAATTTTGGCGCCATCAAACGAACTCGACTCTCCAGTCGCTGGGATTGTGATCCATTTTTTAAAAACAGAAACAAATCGGTTATGATTTTGTGTGCTTATCTTCTGCTACTCCATCTCTAATCAAATATTTATACTCACTATTAGTTGGTGACTTAAACTCCATTACACTCAAAATACCTAATTGACTATGACATTTTGTTAATGCTTTATTGTTGAAATTTGAGTTTGACTCTGATTTTGAAAAAAAAAAAATTTGTTTTTGATTAGGATAAAAAGATTCTAAAATGTATAGAAATAATTGAAATTTGTAGAGTGTGATAGGAGCACAAGATTCTTAAATATATAGGGATAAATGATACGGAGTATTTAAATTCACTATGAAAAAAATTCTTAAGGTAGTGTTTGGCAACTAAGATTTCATTTCAATTCATGTATTTCAATTCCAAAATTTGAAATCTTGAATTTCAAATGACAAGGGGAGGTGCTTGGATTTAAAATTAAGCTTTGTTATGAATGAGAAGAATTTGATTCAAATCCAAATTCAAAATTTGTAAGTTTCCAAACATGGAATTTGAGCCAAATCCGGATTTGAAATCCAAATCCATGTTCCCAAAAATACCATAAAGGAAATGTGAAAAAATTAAAATTCATTTTACACATTTTGGGAGTATTGCTCTTTTTGGAGTTAGGATGGTATTCTAAAAAATGAGTTAAGCCCAAACTCGCAAAACGACCACAACAATTCGCGTACTTCTTATGTCTTTAAAATAAAAGTGATACTTTAATCTTTACCGTCAAACTTTATAAATTTGGGTTTTGGTTACTCACACATTATACTACTACATTGTACGAAAATATAAATTTTAAAAATTAGTTTTGCACGCAATATTATGCTCCCTTAAATTTTATGATATGTGAATAATTAATAGTCAAACTTAATGAAGTTGGATTATAAAATTCAAATATTAACTCTATTTTGAAAGTGAAAGAGTAAATATTTTTTCTAGCCCTGTCCCATTATAATTTACTACTTTATTTTTTGAGTGGTTCTAATTTTTTTTCTTTCCTTAAGAAAAAAGTTAAGTGAGGGTTATCATTTTTTTCTTTCCACACTTGCAGCATTTATACAAAAATTGTTTTATTAAAAATTATGGAGTATTACACAAAACATGAATTATAAATTATACTTTGATAAAAAAAAATAATCTCAAGCCAAATGTGTTGGAATGCATGAGTTCAACCCTTTCTGTGTTGTTAAGTGTTGACTCACAGGTTTTGATAATTGACAAACACAACTTATTCAAGTCAAGATCAAAGTGCTACAACGACACACACGAAGACTTGAAGTGCCATTCCTTAAAGTATTCAAGAAGGTGCACTGGATTTTATTGGAGTCCGAGACGCGTTCGGAGCGTCTAATGGAGGACTCGGAGGAGTAGAAGATTTCCGAAGACTTTTTATTTATTTGAGTCTTAGGAATTTTTGTAAGGATGACAAAAATATCTTCTCTCCAAAATTATTTTTATGAGTGTTAAAATAAAAATTATATTTATTTTTTGGTGTCAGTTGAAAAATCTTTTTAACTGTTCAAAATACATTTATTGAGTCAGTTACAAAAACGTGTGTCAAACATTTATCAAAATAGTTATTTTTGATATTAGAAAATATTTTTGGAAAACAAAAATATTTTATTCAATTTTTTTTCGTGTACATCGTTTGACACACAAAATAATTTTTGGACTCACTTTTACTCTCTTATTCAAATTCATTGAATAAGAGAGGAGGAGCGTTCTCTGATTCTCGTTGCGCATGATTTCCTCTTTTAATTGATTATACTTCTTTGTTTAATCGATTATTGTTCAGCACATTTAATTAATCGATTTTTCCTCCTTGTTTAATCGATTAGTTGCTTGTTGCGTTGGATTGCTTAGGTCTTGTGTTTAATTGATTTGTATCTTTGTTTTAATCGATTAGTTCATACAGAGCCTTCTAATCGATTAATCCCTTTAATTTAATCGATTTTCCTTCAGCTGCATTGATCGTTGCTGATGATGCATTAATCGATTATTGGTGATGCATTAATCGATTATTATGCTGCATCTTTTCTGCACAGCTTCTTTTCTTGGACCAACGGATATATTTCTTCACCTCCTATTTAAGCACCCTTCCTTGGTCATTTTTCTTAACAAGAAACACTCCAATACTCCTCTTTCCTGAGGTGTTAATCCTCCATTCAATTCTTCCTCAAATTGATATATTTTGAGAGAAAACTAAGTGTTTTCAAGAGAGTGTTCTTGTCATCCATTAAAGCTTTAATCATTTCTCATATCTACTCTTTTGAGAGCCATTGTTGAGAGGTTGAAGAAGATTGTTCTTCTTATTGTTTAAGACTTATGTGACTTAAGTCTTGAGTGTGAAGTCTTATAGAGGGCATATCTACGAGCGATTGTGTCGAGGCTTGTGGGATTCAAGTTCTCGGTTTGTAAACGGTTTGTTAAGCACCCGTAAGCTTAACGGAAGTAGTGGTAGCTTCGAGAGAGTCTCTCGAGGAACTGGACTAGCCACGAGGTGGTGAACCAGTATACATCGGTGTGTTCTTTGCCTTCTCTCTTTTATTTCCGCTGCACTTACGTTTATATTTTTAATCCTGCAAAAATCGGTAAACATTCTCAACAACTCTATTCACCCCCTCTAGAGTTGCACGCCTTAAACTAACAAAATGAACAAGAAAATTATTTGATGCAAGGAGTATAAAAATGAAAAATAAGGTTAATGAAAAATGTTCTTTTGAAAAGTCAAAAAAAAAAGGAAAGGAAAGGAATAATTTGGTGTGGAGTCCAATTTGGTTTGCAAGCTCCAAATTCATTTTCAACTTTACATTCAATCGAGTGCGAATGCATAATTAAGTTTCCATAACTTCAAGATACAAAAATTGAATAAAATTGATCTTTCATGATTGATTAGGTATTTGGTGCATTGCTTCCTTGTTAAGTGATTTTTACCAATTCTGATGTGAATTTTGATGCATAATTTTCGGCAGAGAAACTCAGATGGAGACTTCTGAAGATCTGTGCAACAACTTGGGAGATGGAGATTCCCGAGCGAATAATAGTAGCTCCGGCGGCGTTCCGGCATCATCGGGGCAAGGAGCGAGCTCTTCTCTCGCGATCGGCCGGCAATCCCCTAATCAGCTCGTGACCGGCGGTGGTAAAGGTAAACCTGCGAGCTCCATTTCATTGTTGACAATGAATTATCACATGTTTTATTTAGGGAGATTTTTAATATTCTTAGTATTATCCAAGCATATTTGCATTAATGCTTGGATGAACTTGATGTTTTATGTTGATCCACCTTTTTCCGGTGATTGGAAATGTTCTCCGAACTGATTAATTTTATCAGGCTACCTTTGGAACATGGAAAATGGTAGGGAAAAGATAAGGAGATGCAAAGGAAAATTGTAGTTGTTGATGTTTGGATTTAATAAGGAAAATATACATTTGATCAAAAGCTTTTATGCTTTTATACATTGATATCTGAATCAACTTGTTATTTCCCTACAATTGTTATTCTAAATTTCCCCTATTTTCATCCCTAGTTGCTTTACCTAGCATTTGTGCACTTTTATCGACTCAATAAGCTAAGGGGGTGGAGCGGAGCATCACTATATCTATGTTATGGGATGCTGTTTATGTGTTTCGGTGAACGAAGCTGCAATAATTAATCTTCGTGCCTGTTCTCTAACTCTTTTTTTTGTCTTATAAGCCTTTAATAATCAAATCCCCCCCCCCACACATTAACTTATTTGACTGCATTAGCTTAAATCGCCACCAATAATAATAATAATAATAATAATAATAATAATAATAATAATAATAATAATAATAATAATAATAATAATAATAATAATAATAATAGTCATAACAATTTTAAGTCGTGAAGAAGTTACTTATTTGGGTGTTGGAATGAAGATAAAATCATAAATGGCCCTCTACCCCCATATTCTTGGTATCATTTTATTATATTTTTTAAACAACACACTTTTAAGATGATTCAAAACATTCAACCACAATTTTACTAAAACAAGCACTTTATGCCAGAGCCGTCATATCATCCAAATGTTTTATGCATCAAAATGATCTCCAATCAATTGATTGCCTTTAAAATTAGTATCTTCTCACCTTCTACTTGCAAAATCTTGTCTCATGCCTTCTTTAACTCTGCAATAATGTCGTTGATGTTTTTCTCACTCTGGATTAAGATGCAGAAGTAGTTATTTGGAGGCAGTGGCGTACCATGTTTGGCATGATCCTTGTTGCTACTGCTGTGTGGGTGTTGTTTGAACACTCGGGATTGCCTTTCTTATCAGTCTGTTCTGATGTCTTTCTCATCTTGATAGTACTTCTCTTTGTCCGTGCAAACTTTGCTGCCTTCAGAAGGAAGTACGGTCCCTTACTATTTTACATGTGTAAGTTTGATGTTAAGCAGTTCCATTATCACCATTATGTAACAAAAATGAGACTTTCCCGTGTAATTTCACAGACAACTTCAAACATTGCCAGAGTTAGTCTTGACTGAAGAAATGGTCAACAATGCTGCTGCCTCATTCCGTGCTAAAATCAACTATATGTTACTTATGGCCCACGATATCACTCTTGGGAAAGATTTCAAACTCTTTTTTAAGGTGGGGGAAAGGTGCTACTCACTATATAATACGTGTGATACTGCCCGCTACAAATAATTTCCATGAATTAGGGGATGTTTGTTAAGGGTTTTATATTTGAAGAGGAAACATTCTGTTTGGGTTAGGTTAATATGGATTAAAAAACTGGTTCTGCACTTCTGCTGAGTTGTTTGTGAAGGAAAAGGCATAAAAACATTTGGTCAGACTCGTTTCAGCCATATAAGAAAGTAAATAACTACTAGCCAAATAATTCAAAAGATATATATTCACAAGCCAGATAAGACTACCAAATGGAGCCTTATTTTACATTTTATTTGCTTGATGAATGCTGCCCAATTAACTTACAAATATTAAACTATACATATAATTTTTTGTTTAATGTGCAGGTGGTGATTTTTCTCTGGCTTCTATCTGCCATAGGCAGTGTGGTATCTTTCTTCACAGTCACATATATAGGTACTTGGATGCTTTATCCCTGACTGACCTTCTATTCTTATTGCCCATTTTGTAATAGCCATTTGGCTTGAAATGGCTGACTTTTATGGAGAGAAAAGTACTTATTTGGCAAGGAAAATAGTTTGGTAGCATCTATTTCAGTCAAATAGGTGAAGTTAAAGGCTATTTATTGCACATATTTTTGTTCATAAGCATTATATGTATTATGCAGAATTAGTGACCACCAAATGGAGCCTTATTGTCTACCTTATTCCAGGAGCTCGTACTAGTTCTTCCCCCAATATGTACTAGTACTCGCACAATCGGCTTCCCAAACGAGCCCTTAATATAAGAAAGACTAAAATAAATATCACCCTTTCCCTCCCCCTACCTTGCAAATCTTCCAACTATTTAAGGGCTTATTGTCTTAACGGATTATCTCGAGGGCTCATACTTATCTTCCCTGGGTCTAGTTGTAGTGTCAGTATGTGCATTTCTTCAATACGTGTTTAGTTGTTTACTCTACTTTACCCTATCTATGCTTTTTGTGTTGGGGTCTCATGGAAATGGCTTTTCTTCCAAGTAGGGTAAACACACTTCCCAGATCCTACTGTGGAATTCTACTGGGGTTATTTGTATTTCACTTCATAATAGATGTTTCACTTGTATGATTTACCACTGATTTACTTTTTTTCACTCTGGTTAATGCAGGAACTGTCATATCCATTATCTTCCCTGCATTGTACAGCAGATTTGAAGATCAAATAGATGGACATTTCTCTAGACAATATAAGGTTGTGGATGAGAGCCTTAGCAGATTGCCTCAGAATATAGCCAAGGACAAAGATCTCTAAATTTCATGCACCAAATGTATCTCTTAAATCCTTTCTTTGTCATTACTGAGTGAAATGCACTTACACAATGTATATAACAATCAACAATGTAGGCACCACTGAACATTTTTTACTCCCTCCGTCTCCTGAATTGTAATCCTAGTTTGACTTCACAGAGTTAAAGAAAAGTGTTGAAAAATAAAGTGTTTTGATAAAATTTGTTTAGATGATCGTACACTCTATACATAGTGATAGATACTTAATACGGAGTACAAGTATGCGCTTTAAAAATTTTGGAACACCAAAATATCAGAGCTCATAGGCCCCTTCTTAGTTTGTTTAATTTAGGGGTGTTTCTCTGTGTTAGTTTTTATTGCTTTATTTCTGATAAGTTGTTATAAATTTATAAGTTGCTTAGAAGTTAAATATTCTTTTGCGATAGTAAAATGATTTAAATGATAGATGAGTTATTTGAGAATATTCATAAATAGTGCAGGATAGTTTTTTAAATAATTTGTTAAGAACGAATAGATGAAAAAACTGAATTAAAAGTAAGTAGGTAAGATATATTTTTTAGCTTAAAAGTTACAGTAATTTATAACGTATAAGCCACTTTATAAGTATAAAGAAATGTGTCATAAACTAACTTATAAATTAAAAAAAACTATAAGCACAACAAAATACTTCTTGAATTTGTAATTGGTTATTTTCAAGAATTATATTTTCTCGAAAGTGCCCAATTAATTTTTGATTTTGTAAATAATGGAACTTGATTGAGATAAATGTTGGTTGTAGTTTCTTCTTTTAGTACTTTTAAATTACTTATAACCTTAGAACTATCATCATGAAATGACAATATTCAGAGTATCAAAATATATACACTCGAAAGAGGAAAAGAGGCTTGGGCTTGGGATGAGAAGTGCAGAGAAGTTGAAGGCACTGAAAGATATGATTAAATACTGGAAAGAGAAGCGTGCAGAGAAGGAACTAGCAAAGAAGGGGCCAACAAAAGATCTTTCAAATCCCCACTCTTATAACAAATGTCAATTGGAGCAGAAATCTATCTTCTCATCTCTTCTTCATGCAGAAGCTCATCTGCTGCCTTGAGCCAAGCATCATAAATGTCATCCGCGAAGAGAACAAAATGAATCTGCAGAAGAAGAAAAAAGGCATTACGTTTTGGAACAAATCCGGTCACAATTTGGTTCGTCGCATTATATACTTACGTAACATGTGATGGTTAGATTGGAATTAAAACCACATAAGCTTTTTAACTTAGTAGAAAATACCTCTCTGAGATCATCACAGTGTGCTTTAACTGTAGATATGGCCACATTTGCAGCCTCATCAAATGGATACCTGAGTTAATTCGTGGAAGGAGACAAATCAGATCAAGAAACAAATTTTGCAGATATTTTCCCTTATATTTCATGACCAGGTGATCCCCAGGTCTGCAATATCAATATGCTACACAGAATCATTAGAAAATAACACTCCCTCTGTCCCAAAATGTTGAGTCTCTACGAAAAATCATGCTAAACTTTTGATTGTTATTTTCCCTTGAAGGAGGTTGTCACAAAGCATAAACTTAACAAATCATGAAACTACATTCATCACAAATACAGTATAAGAATATAAAAATTACGGAGAACTTTTTTTTATACTTTATTCTCCAGAGGAATTAATGGCACAAGCTCATGGCTTAGCTCAAGCTCCCAAATTACCTTCGTTTTGGGACCGAGGAGTACATAACCAGTTCGCCCTTGGTCCAAAAAAGACAGTCTTGTTTCAAAACTTAAGTTAGAAAAACAAGTCATTTCATGGAATCGAATGTACGTAGATTTTCAAAAAGAAATTGTTCAGAACTAGGATGTAATATTTAGCTGAGCAAAATTTTAATTTGAAAACATAAGCATGAGTTGTAGCTTACCCATAGACACCACATGATATGGCAGTAAAGGCGATATACTGGATGCCGTTTTCTTTAGCAACCCGCAAGCAGTTCCTGAAACAAGGTGTAGGAAAACACGCGTTTAAAAAGCATGAATTTTACAGGGAACAAGATGGCTATGGCATGTACAGTGTACTACAAAAGCACCTCCACTTTCCCAAAAAACTTGTTTCAACACTGTTCTCCTCCACACACACACACACACACACAGTCAACTTTGAACAAGCATAGCTAATTGTTCGTGTAATTTGCCAAAGTAACAAAAATTCCATAACGTATTAACAACTTATTGTAAACAACAACCTAATATAATCCCAACTCTGTTGGTGTCTAGGATCAAGATGTGTGCGATGTTACTTTAAAAATAGAGAGGATGTCTCCATTAGACCCAATTACACTAGAAGCATTGTTGCATTTACTGTCCAAAATTTCACTTAAAGTAAGAATCAAATGGAAATTTAATCTTCCATTTTGATAGACTCCATTATGTATCCAAACTAAAGCACTGTCAATAATGTATCTTTTAGCTACATTGGTAATCGAAGCTTATTTTAAGCCAAAAATAAATCTGATACACATTCATGCTTTATAAGTAATTGTACTACAACATGAGAACGTGAAAACATTACCTATATGAACTTTCCAGTGCGGTTTTAGGATCAGGGTGTTTATAATAAATAGGTCCAACAGTATGAATCACATGAGAGGCTGGCAATCTAAATCCTCTGCATTTCACACAATTCAGCAAAGTATATTAATTACTCCATATACCAGAGTACCATAAAACAAACACAGTAAAAAAAATGCTTGGTGAGTATAAAAATTGGTTTTGATATTAAATGAGAAGGAAAGATTGATTATAACATACGGTGTAATTCTTGCTTCCCCAGTGGGACATCGAATAGTAGGACTAACTTGTGGGACTTTAAAGCATGCTTCTCTCAGTTCAGGACCAGCAGCTTTATGTATGGCTAGAAAATATAACAGTATTTATTTAGTATCCAAAACTTCAACACTATGTTTGGTTTGGGATATTATGGAAGAAAGGCAAATGAATACTAGAAAGGAAAAGAAAGTCAAAGAAATAAAAAGTGTTTATCTTATCTGGGTTGTAAGTATATTGGTGAGGAAATTATTTTTTTTCTTTTTTGGTTGTAGAGAAAAGAAAGAAGATATTGTTCAAATAGAGGGGAGGGTAGGGGTGGGTGGGGATGACAGAGAGGGGGGGGGGATTTGCCATTTTCTCTCTTTTTCCTCATAAAATAGAACGAAAATATAATTTCCAATTTTGCTTTATATTTTGATATTTTCCTTCGTTTTTCTTTTCCTTTCTGACCAAAAATGATTTTCCTAAACATTTTCTTTTATTTTCCCTTTTGAATTCATTGAACCAAATATAGAGTAAGCATGCACACAAACCTACAATGGAAACAATACAGTCTAAACTCTACCTCCATCAGCACCATAACCCCCAAGCATTTGCTCATTAGCAGGATTTACCTTCAGAGAAGAAAAAAATGGAATGGGGTTACACTGAAATAGTTCATTCTACTTTGTAATAGATTCCAAATGTTACAATGAAATAGTTCATAGTACTTTGTAATAATGAAGTTTAGGGTTTGAACATGCAAGCTTAGGAAAAGTGCTAAAAGATGTAGGCATGCAGGGTTGAAGTTCGTTTAACACTATCTTTGCTTCAAGAAAATATGAATGGGGAAAGTAAAATATAAAGCTTTTCCCTGGAGAAATTTTGTTTTATCTCTTCTTTACTTGTTTTTTCTTCTAATCTTCTTTTCCTTCAACTTTTCTTTTACTTTGCTCACTAACCGAACAAGAAAAAAGTGTTTTTCTATACCATTTTCTATTCTTATTCAAAATTCTTAAACCAAACATAATTTTTTTCTTTAAAGAATATGTAAACCCTAATTTCATTCTTGAATCTATCATAAACACATGCAATTTTTTAAGGGAAAAGAGAATCATAACAAAAATGATGAAGAAACGAAAAAGAATTATACGCGAGGGGGAGATGGATTACAATGGCGTCGGAAGATCCATCAACGGACCACTTAGTGATGTCACCAATACGAATCTTCAGCAGAGTGGAAGACTTCAGCTGGAACTGAACAACTTTTGCATCGTCGTCTCGGCCGCTTGCCATCGTTGAAAACTTTGCTCTGCCGCGTACGACGGTCGGGGAGGGCGTCGGTCCGGTGTAACGGGCGAGAGGTTGGAACTGTGAATTCCGGGGTTTGGTCGAGGCGCTTCGGGTGGTGGGGAATCGCCCAAATCGGGAGAAGATTGACCCGAGTTTTGAAACGGGTCTAGAAATCATCTCTAGTGGATAACCATTAACCATTACGGAGTAATATTCGTCTCAAATTTGTTAATTTGTTACTGTGCCTTAATACTTCCTCCTTCCTATTTGTCCTCATATATATTACTCGGTACATTAATTGTGAATTTAAAAAAAGAATATTATTTAAAAATAAATTTAATAAAAATATTTTTCTATCAATTTTTAGGACTATGTCATTTTTTCTTAAGTTTAAATGAGATAAATTTTTATGCATATATATAAGTAAATGATATTGTTCTTTAATCGATCGAGTATGATGGACATGACATACAACATTAGAATCAACAGTTGAACTTAGTAAAAAAAATTAAACTAAATGTTATTATCACTTGTTAGATAACATTTTGAAAATAATACGAGTAGCAAGTATGTCTAATGTTATAGGCAAAGAGCCATAACTCATATCTAAAAAAAATATTTTATTTAGATAAAATGATGTTTATACATAATACATTTGTATGATGGCACCTTAGATAGAACACATGAATAGATAGATCATTTCACTCAAACTCTTTTATTCACCACCAATGTAAGAGAACAATCATTATATACATGATGTCTATTAAATTAATTCCTCATTTCGCATTTAAATAATTTTTATTATGATTTTTAACTTATATTAAAAATTAAATTAGATGTGATAAATGTATTTTTATCCACATATATTTAATTTTTAACATATTTAAAAATCAAGATTAATAATTATTTAAGAATAAAAAAATGCTCCTAAGTAATAATTATAGAAGCATTTTCTAACCAATCACAATTGTTACATTAAGGTGAATAAAACATTGTTTTTTTAACTTGTTAGAACTTAGAATTGAGTCCCTTCATAGGTCCGACCAAATTGCCAGTTCGCCGGAGCGACATTGTTGCTGGTGACGGTCCGGCCATCGCCGGCGGTGACCCGGAAGGAGAGGCTCTGGCCGTTGAGATTGGAGTGGCTCTGCCAATTCTGGCCCCAGTTCCGACTCATCGGCTGCCACCCCGTGGCGGAACCCTTGATTTCTACCGACTGAACGTCGCCGGCGCCGGCGACATTGGTCACCAGCACCAGGTTGAAGAAGGCGTGGCCGTTGATGGTGAACCTTATTCCTCCCGGCCTCTTGCAAGGTACTCTGTGAACCATATCCAAAATGAGTGTTACTCAAGCAGTAACAATTTTTATGAAAAATACTCCGTATATATTTAATTCTATATAAATTTAATATAATTGGGATATACTTTTTCCGATCTTAAAAATCTATCATGATTTTACTTTTTTTAGACTAATTGTGTACATGATACTTACTGTGTTCTAAAACTATTTTCCTGTTTGTGTCTATGAGACGACTTTATTTTCAATTTAATTTATTTGATTGGAGTCGTAAAATTAAAAAATAAAATTTATATATTTAAAACTATATCAAAAATTCTACAAAACAAGATGTGATAAGACTATATTGTTTTACCAAATAACTAACGAAAGTAAGTAAAGAAAGTAAATTAAGTTTGACCGTGTTTATAGTAATTGAAAAAATAATTTTAAAACGGGGGAGTATAAAGATTTAATAGGTGAAAACTGAAAACTACCTAGTATATCCTAAAATAAATAAAAGTCAAAATAAGAAAGATTGGTTGACTTGTGGAGGAGGGAACTCACCGTCGGAAAGAAACAGGGACGATTCCGGCGTGGTATTGGGCGATATGCAAGAAGGCGGGCTGGGCCAAATCGAAGTGTTGCAGGGGAGGATTGCACCACCCGCCGCCGTTGTTGGGCAGCCCGGGGTTCGGCGGGCAGAAGTTCGTCGCCGTCACGGTGGTTGTCCCGGGGAGGCACGACTTTCCGGCGGCGGCGTCGCACTTGAGCTCGTAGCAAGAGCCACATCTCAAGCCGTTGTTGAAGAGGGCAGAGCTGAGCGCGGCCGTGTCCGTCCCGTACCCGGTGCTATGCAGGTTCCCGTAGCCGCAGGCCCCTCCCATTGTCCCCGCGGCGTCTCCGCCGCCGTAGAATGTGGCGTGGGCGCTCTGCCAGCCGCCGCCGGAGTCGCCGAAAGATCGGCGGAGTAAACAGAGGAAGAACAGGGCGGCGGGGAATACCAACGGTGGAATAATAGACATTGACTTAAATTGACCGAAAGGGCAGACAATAAATGTGATGTTTGGTTACTTATTGATGTGCGTGCTGCGGATGGCTCGGCAGTTTAGTTTGGGCTATTTATAGAATTCTTGTGCTTCCCAAGACCCAAATACCTCCCAAAGTGTTTATTCATTTTTTAAATATTTGCAGTTAAAATTTATAAATTTTAACAATAAATTAAATAAATTGGATAGTAGATATTGATATGAAAATAATCTTAATTAAATTTAGGTTGCTAAATATTATCAAATTTTAATTTATTTAGGGGAGTGTATTCAATTAGGATTTTATAGGATTTTTTTTAGATTTCAAAAAGTTAGTGGATTTAAAAAATTTGTAGAATCTATGTAGAGTTTAGTTGATTTTTTGTAGAATCCATGTAGAGTTAGAAAAATTTATAGAATCCATATAGAGTTTAAAAAATATGTAGATTTTGCAACAGAAGAAAAGCAAAGAATCCGATTTCAAGACCAGCTCCAACACCTGCTCCAAGACATGCTTTAAAGAATTACAATTTGGACAAGAAGGTGGCAAACTCCGTCGGCAAACTCCAATACTTGCTTCTCGAATTTTCAGCCAAGGACAACGTCGCCAAAAAGGGTTTTCCCCAAACCGCCGCCTCACCCGACCCATCCGTCTTTGAGCCCTAGTTTCGATCTCCGCTGCGACGAGCTGCACCTCCATGACTCAGATCTCCGGGAACTCGTCGGTAGAGAAGAAGAACAGCAACCATATGCCGAATTACATGAACAGTCGACAAAGGCCAGAGAAATAAAAGATTGACGGATGCCGGATGTGAATGGATGAAATCCATAGAAATCTAGGGTTGTGAGAAGAGATTTCCATGAGTGAAAATGTAAGCAATTTTTGAGAGAAAATCCAACAAAATCCATAGACTATTAAAATTCATAGACTTTTGAATACTTTAAAATTTTTAAAGATTTTTGAAAATCCAAGTTGAATACTTTAATATTTTTAAAGACTTTGGAAAATCACAATTGAATACCTCAGAATTTTTAAAGACTTTTGAAAATCCAGATTGAATACACTCAGATTTTAAAAATCTAAAAAAATCCTATAGACTCCCGATTCAATACACCCCCCTTAATTCATAAATCATATAATTTTGATTTGATTATAAGACAAATGTTGTTATTATTGAGTACAAAAGGTCAAAAAATGACAACAATTTGAGACATAAGGATAATTAAATTCATGGGAGCTAGATGGAAATTGTCTCTCAAGGAGTGTCAAGGAGGTAAGACCAGAGTTCGATTTCTCACAACTGCGCAGGAAGGCAACTATACTAAGCATATGGTCTCTGCAAGTACTAGATGTAGGTTCCATTCTTTGCCACAGATCTGTAATTAAAGTCCAATTTACCTTCTCTCAATGATCGTCGGGTCGGGTCTGAGGGGATCTTCGAGAATGGGGCTCATCCCTTATGAATAAAGTAAATTATTATCTCTAATGTTTTTATTAAATCGACATATTGACTCTTATTTGGGCATGTTTGGAAATAACGTTAGAGACTAGCTTTAGCATTTTGAATAAAATTTTAATGGTGCAGATTAGTTTGAAAATAGTAACGATAAACACTACCAAATTATTATCCCTATCTGCTACTGTATACAACAAAATGTAGTGTTTTCTACCTAGTTGGGCGCCAACACTTATTAATCGAATGTTCTATTATAATTATTATTCGGATTGAAACATGTTTTAAGTATAAATTTTGTCTTATTAATTTATAATTATCCCTATTAAATTAGTTTATGTTTTTTTCCTATGAAAAAGTTAAAGAAAGAAATATGCACAAAAAAAAGTTCACTTTTTCTTTTTTGAAGTTGTTATAGAACTCAAAAAATAATGTTTTATAAGAACTAAAAAAACAATAAACGGATTAAACGGAAAAGAAAAAAAATCAAACCAACAAACTAATGAATGGTTTGGATAGAAAAAAATAAAATAAAAAATTCCAGAATTAAAAAAAACATAAAAAAATGGCAAGGTAAAAATTTGAACATAAGAGCATTCACAATAGCAAGGTAATGTCTTGCCTTGTCTAGCCATGTCAGCAAATACCATCCAAATCATGGCATTTCATGGTCATTCCATCCCACTTTTTATTCCACGTGCAAGACATTACTCTCTGATTTTTTTTTTTAATTTTTAAAAAGAAATATTTTTTTTTTAAAAATAGACATATTTTAATAATAAAATAGATGTGTAAAATAATTTTTGATAATTAAAAATCATATAAAGTGTAAAAATAGACAAAAATAATGACTCCCACTGTATATTACGACACTCCACTCACTTACCACTTAGTGACTAAATTATTTTTTATTAGTTAAAATATTCTATGTCACCGTGTGACATTTTATTTCGTCTTGTCATTGCTAATGGTTTAATTGAATTGCAATAAATTAAGGTCATGCATGTATTAAATGTCTAGTGATTAATGTACATATCAATTAATGTTTGATCATATATGATCTTTAATTTGCTTCTTACACTACACCCCCCATATCCAATCATCTCATGAATGACATAACCATCATATAAAATGCAAATGATTAGAGGTATAAATTAAATTAGTAATACTACTCACAAGACTACAAGATAGAGTACATATAAATCATTTAGGAGAAAATATTTATAAATTCAATAGATAATGTTTTTTTAGGTTTAAATTTAATCGCAAAAGCTGCGAAGGAAATTAATATACTCCGTATGTTGCTCCATCAATCATATCAATCAATTGCATATGCATCCACCAACTAACTTTCTTATTTTTATGGAAGACCTATGAGGTATAGACCTATGACCTAGGAAGACTTATAGGTTCTTCTCAACCTATTTTTTATTTATTATTTGGTTTTATTGAAACCAGATCACATCAAAAATATGTTTAATTATAATTTCATTCATATCATATCAAAATTTCTTCTAATTAGATCGATCATAATCAAATCTATTGGTACTCTAAAAATTATAGTTCAAATTTAGCCAAAAGGTGAAGTTTTTATTTGTGGTTACACTGACATTTTATGTTAATGTAAACTTTCAAAATGTAAATGTAAATCTTTAGCAATATTTTTATGATATAATTTTTGGGGTACATATACACCTAGCTTGATTGATGTATCCGATCTATATTTTATATAGAGTATATAATATAATTACGGATTGGAGTATTATTTATTATTATTTTAATAGTAATATTTTATTATTAATATTATTATTGTTATTTTATTATTATTTTATAATTATTGTTATTTTTTATAATTATTGTTATTATAAAGGGAGTTTAATGCCCACGTTTTTACTCGGTATTAAAATACTATAGGGTACTTCGTAATTAGAAATAATGATTGGAGCAATTTGCATATGCTGTTGGCCCACCACTTGAAGCACCCACCGAGAGCCGAACCCACGGACACATGCATTATTTTTTTCTATTCACTTCCGGGCCCTAATATATTCTCGTTTTGACATTTTTTAATTTTAAAAAGAGTTGAAAAAAGTGAAAGTTTATTGAAATATCCTTTAATTTAATGAAAATATATTAGTGGAGTGTATTAAACAAGATGTGTAATAGATAATGTAAGTGAGGATAGTTGTAATATTTTAAATGTTAAAAGAAGTAATGAAAAGATATATGAGGGAGAAATAAAAAAAGATAACGGAAAATTCTATAGGGGACGAGAGGAGTATTATATTTTCGCCGATTTTTGAGACAATTGAAAATGATGCACAAATTAAATTTACCTATTTATTTCCAAGTAACCTAATGTTCTTTTCTACACTATTACTCCGTAGCTTTTATTACGATGTGCATCCTTATTCAACAATCTATTTTTTTTATTTCAGACGGAGACAGTCGCACATTCAGAAAAAAATATGACTGAAGGCAAATCTACACTAAAGAGTACTTGTATATCTTTTTATATCACAACATAATATAATTATGATATTTCAAATAGTTTACTTGTATATCTTTTTTTAAGTAATTATTTTTTTACTTTTAAACTAAGATTTTCTTTTGTGCGTGGGCAAACTAATTTTTTTGCCGGGGTCAACTTTTTAATTCTCTACAAAAATATTATTTGAATGTTGTATATTACGAAGTAAGAAAATGGACTGAGGGAGACTACCCCTGTATTCTTACATGTAGATCCGCCCCTGGACCGAGATTCGCATTTATGTTGTCCAATTCGACCATATATAAGGGTCTTTGACAATACTTTCTTCCTATAACTATGTTAAATTTTAAAAATATTTTTGTGTCTATAACTATAAGTTTGAATTTTTGGTTCAAATAATTTCTTGTATGGTATCGGGGTTTTGATGACTAAATGGTCACGAGTCAGAAACTAATCGCCACTCCACTTTAAAAAAACCAAGTTTCACATGCATGCAATGCTCAAAGTGGCCGGTCACGCCTACATGTGAGACAGTGAGGGGTTCTGTTAAAATAAAATACTTCCTTCGTCCAAAAAAATCCTTCTCATTTATTTCATATTTCTATTAAAAAATTACTTTTGCCCTTAATAATTCTTACTCTGCCTATCACATCATATTTTTTTTATTAATAATCTACATATCATATCTTACTTTTATCAATCACATCAATGGTATTTTTAGAAAATTAACACAAAAAATATCTCTCCCTAAAATTTCCCATCAATCAAAATGGGAACATCGTTATGGCCGCATTTATGTCCAAGCTTTACCGAGATTCGCATTTATGTTTTCCAATATTAACTGCAAAAAGTCAGTATCGGACAAATATTCAAAGACGGAAGTAATAGTATTTTTATTATGTTTTCTTCTTTTTTTAAAGAAAATTCTCCCTACTTATTTTCTTATGTCTGAATGTTAATTTTTTTAATCAAATATGCTATGTCTATGCTCCTATATATATACGGATATCTTTTTTTTCTCGATTACTTCTTCTTTGGATCCACCATGAGAATGACTGAATGAGAATGAATTAAACCAGCCCACTACTGAAAAGACTCAAAACAGTACGTACAACTGCACAAGAAAGAAATACCCGACCCAAAGAGCGATATACGTCGGAGTCACATTATTAATGCACCAATTCATGCATGCACGTACGTCCGTAACACATGAAAACTTTGAATGCACGCACTTAATTATAACATGCATGCACGTTCCCATGCCGCTTCTATATCTCTCTCACACAGACACACACACATTATGTATCCAAAATTTTGACTCAAAAATCAAATAAATTTAGGGGTCAGGTGTAATTGAAAGAGGCCGATGTGGGGTGTGTTCGGGTCAGGCAGGGTAGGAAGGTTTACCTGAGAGTTAGGAAGTAGGAATAGTCAATTTTACGAACAGGGTGTCGTAGCGGCCCTGGATCATCCCATAACATAAGATTTCAACGTGATCGGAACCGGCCCTTATGGTATTACGTGTTTGGATATGATAATCAAATTAAATACTCTCTCCGTTCCTTTAAACACTTCCTATTTTGACTTTGGGATAGAATAAGGAAAGTGTAAGTTTAGTTGACTTTCCTTTTTTGCCCCTGATATGATGGGTAAAAATAAGATGTGATAGTTTGGTTATTAGTGAAAAAGTATGATGTGATAGGTAGGGTATGAAAAAGTAGGGGTAAAAGTGGTTTTTTAATAGAATGTGAAAGTGTTTTAGGGAATTAGAAAAAAACAAAAGGGGAAGGATTTTATGGAATAGAGGGATACAACTTTGAAAGTTACCTTCTCAACAAGATAAATCTAATAAAAATAATTTATACTCATCATATACATTGCAATTTTGTGTGTTGTGTGGTCGACCCTAACACGAGGGGGTAGGATATAAATACATTGGAACAAATACAATGTATTTATAATACTAGACAAATACATTGGAACTAAAATAGTATGTGATTATGTTCATTAATTATGTTTGCATACGTTGGATTGAATGTCTAGCAAACTTATTTTCTTGGCTAATGACCTAATGTGTTTCACTATTTTGGTGAGTTTAGATCATCTTTAATTTAATGGAAGATCCTTATCAAGTTTCTTAAATGGCAAAAGTTATATAGTGCCCTAAGGGCATTATATAAGGAGACATTAAATGTCTAAAAGTATGTGAACATCCACCTTGTCATAAATATGGAGTATGGAATAAAAATTAAATGTGTATGTTTATATTGAGAGATATGCTAGGAGTACACCAAAAGTGTACCTCAAATGTACACCACTTGCATCCACACCATTCATTTTATTTTCTTTTTATTTTTTACTTTTTTTTGAAATTTTCTTGCCTTTTGTGTGTGGTGATGGAGGGGGTGGGGGATGTTTGGGGTACACTTTTGGTGTACCCTTAGCATTTTCCTTATATTGATTTAATTAAAGCTCTTCTAACACTCCCTATAATAATGTTTGACAAATAATAATCTCTCTAAGGCTCTGTTTATTTGGGTATCAACTCTTAATTTTTAATTTTTTTCATAAGTCATTCCAGTTTTTTTCTTTATGATTTAAAAATTTTCGTCAATTGTGTTTCTTTGAAATGTGTTCTAGTGTACATTTTAAAATTTTAACCATAAATTATGGTTTATAATTTTGACCAAAATAATTATGCACAATTTTATTTCATTAAGTATTACTCCCTCCATCTTTGAAAACTTTTCTCATCGTTGGGTTGAACAACATTGAAAGATTGAATCCAATCGATTAGTTAGTTCAACTCAATAGCTTATATACCCATTATTTTCTTCACACTTTTCCGATGTGGGATACTCTTTGATGGGTATATCCTTATACCCGACCCGGATGACCGAAAGGGACAAGTCAAAATATGACCGGTCACTTTTATCAATCACCAAATGAGGTTAACTCTTCGATTGGGACAGGTCAAAAGTTGACCGGTCACTTCCACTAAAAAAGTGACTGGTCACATTTTTGGCGATAGCCAAAATATCACCTTATGTTACGAAGGATATTCCAGAAGACCAAAGAGACGGGCTGAGCTCAAGAAATGACCGGGTAACCTTTGAAAAAAGGTGACCGGTCATACCACATTACTTGTCTAACATTGGTCCATTCTCTTAGGCATGGTGAACTACGTCAAAAGACCGAGGGACCACCCCGCCGCTCATCCATCACGAGGCGTACAGTGAAAAGGATGTTTGTCATCTTGCAGGGCTGATTGGATTGAGAATATCCATGTTATAGTCATTGATTGAACAGTGCTTTTTGGTTGTATTAGTAGCAAGTCTATGATTGTACAGTGCTTCCATTAACTACAATGACCTTCCCACGAGCTTCCTATTTTGTCCATGGATGAACAGGGGAAGGTCACAAATTCTCCTCTATAAATATGATGATATTGCATAGAGGAGGGGATCCATTCTTTATCTCACTAAAAATAGTACACTCTTGAGACAGAGTATTTGTTCTTGTCATACTTTGTGTTCTTGTTGTGTGTTTTATATTATACGGGTCGAGTGTCCAGGTCAAACTCGGTTAGCCCACCCATCTATATTTACACCATCACTCTTTAATTAACACCCCCCCTTCTAGTGGACGACCGGCCATTTTGAATCTAATCGGTTGACCACTTGTAAATCAACTCCCATCCTTTTTAATTTTTTTTAGCACCAATACTTTAAGGACCACGAGCCGCTGGATATGAAATTCTAGACGAGCAATCGTGTTAAACATGCCGCATGTCGTTGGGTACACACTCCATGATGGGTGTATTTCACCCATGACCGGTCAAAGGTCAAGACCGGATAGTTGACCGGTCAAAGAAGTCAAACTTGCAAGAGAGGTCTGGATCGTCGGCGAAGGGATGATTGGTTGACCAAAAGGTTGACCGGTATACTTCGGATAGTATACCGGTCAAACTATACCGGCGTCTAATTCACCCTACGAAGTTGGCCACGCCAACCTACAAGAACCAACCGGTGCAGTTCCTAGAGATTTGGGAAGTGTCAGTTCATGACTCAGTTTCCGCTGGACCGAGGGTCAGTTTCCCACCAAGCATGACTCAGTTCATGAATGACCCAGCTAACCTGCAGGCCATCCAAGGCTTTGGCCAGGTCATGGCTATGTGCCAACAAAATGGGGGGATGCCTTTCATCCCTGGTATGTTCCCGTTCGCTCTTCCAGGCACGGGAACCATGCCCCTACAAGCTCCGATGGCAGTGACGCCGTTTCAGACGCCGATTCCACAGCCATCACCTTTCCAGCCGCAGCTAGTCAGCGCTGTGGCCCCCCATCAACTTGGCAGGTGCGCTTAACGCCGCGGGGCCATCGCGTCCCCCGCAAGGTACGAATCCACTAATCACCCCCGATGGTCACTGCGTCTCAGTGGAGAGCGGAGACGACGAGTGGGACATTCCAAGGACCCACAAGAAGAATAAGGGAAAAACCATCCGACCCGCCACCTCCCGAAACTCCGCCTTCGAAAGGCTGGGGGATAGGGAGGAGGGCCAGAGAAAATCAGCCAAGCTAAGGCTGGGGCAAAGCGTTGCCCATGTCAGCGCGTTTGCCCGGTTAGGCGAGATGAGGGAGGCCGAGCCTGCCCGCACCCAACGCTCCCGGTCAAACCGGCAGGAGCCAGCCAGGACGAGGGCCTCTCGTCAGGAGGAAGAGGCAGAAAGCCAACCCAGGGTACCGGTGGCTAACCGGTTAACCACCCCCAATGATCGCGTCCAGCAGATGGAGGCAAAGCTGGAGAGGCTGGAGAAGAAGGTTGGAGAGAAGAATGACCGGGACAAACCCCTCGCAGGGTCCCCGTTCACTACAAGGGTCCATCTGACACCTTTCCCACGAAAGGTCAAGATAGACGCCCCAAGGTTTACCGGCAAGGAGGATCCAGAAATACATCTGGATTCTTTCAACCAAAGTGCAACTATGAATGGTTGTACGGATGAAGAAAAGTGCCTCCTTTTCTTCCAAACCCTGCGGAATCGAGCTACTGAATGGTTCAACAAACTTCGCCCGGGAAGTATTGATTCATTCAGTGACTTGGCCTCAAAATTTAAGGCCAAGTTCCAGGAAAACTGTACTAAGAGGAAGAAATTCACCTATCTTAGTACAGCCGGGCAGAGGGAATCTTAGAACCTCACTCAGTTCCTTACCCGGTGGAAGGAGGAGGTAGACAAGGTTGAGGAGATGGACGACAAGACGGTGTTGTCCCTCCTCCTGAACGGCTTACGTGCCGGGGAACTATACAAGGAATTCTGCCGGAAACCCCCGGCCACGTATCAGGAAGCCTACCATACTGCATGGGAGTTCGCCGAGGCTGAGACTCAACTCCGGGCAAAGAAAGAAGCCGAGCATGGTTACAAGCCTAAGCTGGTGCAAGTCAAGAAGGAAGAAGTGCCGGTACCCAGCCGGCCAAGGCACCACTATGACCCGGTAGTCCGAGTGGTCAATTCAGAAGAATGCCAGGAGGTCAGGAAAGCACCGGTCAATCCTCCGAACAATCCTACCGGTCAATCTGGGCGTCAGTGGTCGGGCACCTATTGTTCATACCACAGGTCAGATTCCCATAGCACTTCCGAATGCAAGAGTGTTAAGGGAGTGATCCGGCAGATGATAGACAGCGGAGAACTGGGCAAGGATTATCTGCAGAAAGCCCAGGAGAAGAACCATCAATGGGTAAGGCCAGCAACCTAGGGAAATGACCGGGACAATGACTGGCGGAGGAACAACCGGCAGAGGGAGCAACTGCCTGTCCCTGACAAAGAACATATTGGGATGATCTTTGGCGGACCCAAAGGAGGAGATTCAGCCGCGCAGCGGAAAAACTGGGTTCGCAGCATTTACGTTGGTGAGGTGAATGCCGAACCGGCCAGGCGTAAGTATCCCAAGAGGGAGCCAATAGTCTTCACTGACCGGGACCTCCCTCCTACCGGTGAAGATCACAATGGTCCATTGGTCATCACCATGGACATCAACGGGGTGGACGTCGCCCGGGTACTTGTTGACACCGGCATCAGTGTCAACATCCTCTACCTGGAGACCTTCCAGAAACTCAGGTTGTGTCGGACACAACTTGAACCCCTCAAAAACCCTCTCTCAGGCTTCACGGGAGATACCGTTGAAGCTGAAGGATACATAGTTCTACCGGTCGAACTAAGATCGGGCGAAAAGACTGTGTGGAAGAGAATGCGGTTCATTGTTGTGGATATCAAATGCGTCCACAACGCGATCCTTGGAAGACCGGGCATCAATAAGGTTGGGGCGGTAATTTCCATGCCTCACCTGTGCATGAAGTTCCACACTCCAGATGGTGTGGGTGAGGTGAAAGGCGACCAGAGGAACGCCCGGGAGTGCTATGCCTGGGCAGTCAAGAAGATGACCAAGGGGGTCAATGTCATCTCCCAAGAGATCACAAAGGGAGAGACCCGGGAGAAATTGGAGCCCGAGGCCGAGACGGTGGAAATCGAACTTCACCCGGGTGATTCTTCGAGGATGGTCAGAATTGGAGCGAATCTCCCCGAAGATCTCAAGGCAGAGATTACACGGGTACTCCAAGAGTACGCGGGCATATTTGCATGGAGCGTGGCAGATATGCCCGGAATTGACCGCTCAATCATCTGTCACCGGTTGGCAGTAAGGGAGGGAAGTCGACCGGTACGCCAGAAGAAAAGGTACCTAGCCAGCGACCGGCGAGACTTCGTCAAGAAGGAGGTGAAGGACCTCCTTAGTGTTGGTCACATTCGGGAAGTTAAATACCCGGATTGGCTGGCCAATGTGGTTCTTGCTCCCAAGGGGGACACATGGAGAATGTGTGTGGATTACACGGACTTAAACAAGGCGTGTCCGATGGATTCATACCCCCTCCCTAGTCCAGATCAAATGGTGGACGAAACTGCGGGGTGCGAACTCCTAAGTTTCATGGATGCTTTTAAGGGCTACCACCAGATATACATGGCCAAGGAGGATGAAGAGAAGACGTCATTCCTCACACCCGAAGGAACCTACTGTTACCGGGTAATGGTGTTTGGCTTGAAGAATTCAGGGGCAACCTACCAGCGCATGGTGAACAAGCTCTTCAAGCCATTGCTGGGAAAGACCATGGAGGCGTACGTCGATGACATGCTGATCAAAAGCCAGGTATCCCTCAACCACCCGGCTGATATGCGTGCCACATTTGATATCATGGCAAGATACAACCTACGGTTGAATCCTAAGAAATGCGTCTTCGCGGTTCGTACCGGGAAGTTCTTGGGATTCATGGTGACCAGGAGAGAAATAGAGCCCAACCCAGAAAAAATTCGGGCTATCACTGAAATGCAGGCCCCCACATCTGTGAGGGATGTCCAGAAGTTGACCGGTCGTCTAGCGGCACTCAGCCGGTTCCTTTCCCGGTCAGCTGAAAGGTCCCTGCCTTTCTTCAAAGTCCTGAAGAAGGCCAATACATTTTCATGGGACGAGGAGTGCCAGAGGGCATTCGAGGAGCTGAAAGAGTACCTAGTGTCGGATATTGTATTGTCTAAACCCCAGCCGGGTGAAACTCTGTATATGTACCTGGGAATTTCCCCAAATGCTGTAAGCTCTGTTTTAATAAGAGATGATGGGGCACAAAAGCCCATTTATTATGTGAGCAAAGCACTAAACGGAGCAGAAAGTAGATACACGGCGATGGAAAAAATAGCCTACGCGCTTTTCATCTCCGCAAAAAAGCTAACATTCTACTTCCAAGCTCACCCGGTAGAAGTCTTGACTGACCAACCGCTGGGTGCAGTGTTGCGTAATTCAACATCCTCCGGGAGGATGGTGAAGTGGGCGATGATGTTAACTCAATTCAACATTGAGTACCGGCCAAGGTCAGCAATCAAAGGGCAAGCCCTTGCGGACTTCCTTGTAGAGATGACCGGTATAACTCCAGATGAACCGGTCAACAAACCCACTGAGCAATGGTGGGAGATGGCGGTAGACGGGGCATCTGGCCCTAGAGGATATGGGGGTGGGATCGTGCTTTCCACCCGAGAAGGGTTCAAGATCTACCATGCAATCGTCTTCAACTTCAAGCTGACGAACAATGAAGCAGAATACGAAGCTCTCGCTGGTGGGCTCAGACTTGCTCAAGCTTTCAAAATCAGCCGGGTCAGTATCAAATCTGACTCTAGTCTGATTGTTGGGCAAGTGACCGGTAATATGGAGGCTAGAGAAGGACGAATGGCGCAATACAAGGACCTGGTGCTCGCCTTGTTGAAAAGCTTCGAGGAATTCAAAATCGCCCAAATCCCCCGGGCAGAAAATGCAGATGCAGACCTTCTCTCCAAACTAACGCAGTATGCTCCCGAGCATGTTTCAAAACTTTCCCGGGTGGAAATCCTAGACCATGCCAGCATCGAAAAATTGGAAGTCACCGCCATAACAGCAGCAGGCCAATCTGACCGGTCGAACCTGATCGGGGCAGATGACGACTGGATGTACGACCTGATGGAATACCTGATGGACGGAACCTTGCCAGAACAAGAAGACCGGGCAAGAAAGGTGAAGCTCAGGGCACCCCGGTTCCAAGTCCTTGATGGGAAGCTGTACAAAAGGGCATTTGGGGGGCCACTCCTGAGGTGCCTAACCAACCGGGAAGCTGAGCGAGTCATTGCAAAAGTTCATGAAGGGGTATGCGCGGCACACCAAATGTCCCGTACCCTTTCCCAACGCATCATCTTGTTGGGGTATTACTGGCCAACTATTGTCCAGGACTGTGAAAGGTATGTCCAGAAGTGCAGAACATGCCAAGTATTCTACAAATACCCCGGTAGGCCGGCGACCTACTATCACCCCGTATCAAATGTCATCCCTTTCGCTAGATTCGGGGTGGATATCATTGGAGCATTCCCAATTGCCCAAGGAAGAAAGAAATTTGTGATTGTGGCCATCGATTACTTCACCAAATGGATTGAAGCTGAAGCACTAGCCAATATCACCACGCAACAATGCAAGAAGTTCATTTGGAAGAACATCATCACGAGGTTCGGGGCTCCCATGAACCTAATTACCGACAACGGCCCACAATTCCGAAACCCAAGATTCACCGAATACTTGGAGGGTTTCGGAATCAAGCACAATCGCTCTTCGGTGGCGTACCCCCAAGGAAATGGCCAAGTTGAAAACGCCAATAGGACTATTGTGGATGGTCTAAAAAAACGGCTGGGAGAAGCGGGAAACAAGTGGCTGGAAGAGCTCCCCCACATCATATGGGCGTTCTGAGTAACACCCAGGAGGGCTCATGGGGAAACTCCATTCTCCCTAACCTATGGGTGTGAGGCAAGGCTGCCCATCGAAGCCGAATTCCCAACGTTTTGGGAATCAAATTATCAACCCCAGTAGAACGAGGAAGATCACTTGGCCGAACTCAACTTGGTCGAAGAGCGGAGAATGGCCGCGGAAGTTAAAATGAGTACATACCAACAAGTGGTGAAGTACCATGACAACAAAGTTGGGCCGCGATACTTTCAAGTCGGCGATGAAGTCCTGCGAAGAAGGGAGGCTAGTAGACCGGGAGACGGGGGAAAGCTGGCCAAAAACTGGGAAGGGCCTTACCGGGTGAGAGCTATCATTCGCCCGGGAACCTACCGGTTAGAAACTCTTGAAGGTGTACCGGTAGAAAGAACCTGGAATTCCCATCATCTTCGAAAGTTCTACAAATGATTGTAATACTAGGCAAGGCCTACTTTATTATCAATCAAACCGATGACATTCGATACTCTACATGGTAGCAGCAGAATTGATAGGTCGAACCTATCCTAGGAGGGCTTCCCGGGTGGATCGCATTCACTCGGATAAGCCAACTGAGACACAGGCCCAGACCTGGCACGCTGGTTACTACATCGGTCTTGCTCAGTATAATAGAAAAAATATTAAAACCCGGAAGAGGGTATGCCTGCAAGAGGGCTGGACCTGGAAGAGGGTTCGAACCGTACTTACACGGGCCCATGAGGTTTGACCGGTGTCGGGGAATCAGCCGGCACCGTCAAATTGATTGGGGATTAAAAGATGCCCATTAAAAGAAATAGAAGGGGATCGTCCACCGTGGCGCATCCTGTTTCCCCCTTCTCAGGGAAGACTTGAACGGGGGGTGAGCTAAGGCCTTCCTGGGATAGTAGAAATCAAAGGGCCATTAAAAGACTTAATCGCCCGGAATAGGGGGCCCTGGAAGAAGGGTGCATTTGGACCTTGGAGAGGGTTCGAAACCATTCGAACATGGTTAAATCTCCAGTATTCTTACCGGTTAAGAATACTTCAAGAAATAACTAGGTTACAGATGCTTCCATCTACAACCTACCGGTTATAAAAAAAAAAAAGAATACCCCGGTTGGGTATTGTTACAGCGGAACTTCGGAAGTTCTTCAAGACAAAGCAGTTGACCGGTCGTACCGTGAGATGGGAACGTACCGGTCATACTCTACTTCATCGAACGAAGGTATCCAAAAGCCAAAGAAAAGTTCAGCCGGTCAAACTGTTGTAAGTTGACCACCATGATGAAGGCATTCAAAAAGCAAAAGTTGAAGTTCAACCGGTTCACTGTAGTTCAACCGGGTTGAACTTAGCGTATTCAAAAACAAGCCAAGAAATCGAGAATTAAAGTTTGACCGGTCAAAGTTACTCGAGCTGATCCTTCAGGTAAAGTGATCAAAGAGAACTTTGAAGTTCTACCGGTCAAAAATAATTGAGAAGTGGCATGATTACTGTACCGGCTAGAATTTCTATGATGGTATTCTAGGAAGCAAAAACAAAGTATCAAGCAAGAAGCAAGCAGACATGGAGGATCAACCGGTATGAAAAACAAACATGGCATTCAACAAAACAAGGAAGTTAAGTGTTTTACAGCTGCACCGGGCATTCCCGGGGAAATGGGTTTGAAGTTTTTTACAAAACAATTCAACCGGGCGCAGCCGGAAAGTTCATTCGAGGGGGAAGGGGGGAGTGGGTTCTTCTTTCGGGATAGGTGCCAGGCCATAAGAAGCAGCGCTAAACTCCGGGTCCCTTCTCAGCAATACCCGGTGGGAGGCAATCCGGTCTTTCTTCTGACCGCTCTTGAATCCAAAAGATCCAATCGCGGTTATCATTTTCCTTCCCTCAGGCTCCCGGTACAGAAACCTGAAGGATTCCATGGTGGCCTCCGGAGTCGCCGTCATCACCCGGGCAGCATCGGCTTTGTTCTCTTCAACCCAGGCGGCTGCGCGCCCGGGGAAGGTTTCTTCCTTCTCCGCCATTTCCCTCTTAGCCTCAGAAACTTCATCCATAAGCCG